CCATTTAAGACAATCGAGGCGGTCTCCATTTGTGTACAGAGGTGAGCAGATCAATGAAGAACAATAGACAAGCACCGAAAATGTTTCAATTCCAGCTAATCACTCCACAACGTTGAAGGTCAGGTTGTGTGTCCTCTGAGGAATTCCAGAGGTGGTCGTGCCTGGAATGAGTGAAGTAGGGTCATCAGCCTTCTGTCACTGTCTGCGTATTTCTTCTTTCTTTTCGCTGCACCGTGGCCAGCATCCAGCTAATCGTTACGGTTTTGATTGTCTGATATTTTACACCCAAGGTGTCCCGACATATCACCGAACGACAATTCACCGAGCGACAGTTCACCGACTGACAGCTCACCGAACGACAGCTCACCGAATACCCAGTTCACAGAATGCCCATTTCACCGAATCAGGGAGTCGTAAAATACCTCCCTGCACCGAATGCACAACTCACAGAATGACAGTTCACCGAGCGGCCAATTCACCGAACAGACATTTCACCGAAAGAAAGAAAAAATAAAGAAGGACGGAGAGAATTTTGAATTTTTAAATATAATTATTTCAAGGATTCCCCAGAGGCCATTAAGCCAATCGAGGCGGTCTCCATTTGTGTACAGAGGTGAGCAGATCAATGAGGAACAATAGACAAGCAGCGAAAATGTTTCAATTCCAGCTAATCACTCCACAACGTTGAAAGTCAGGTTGTGTGTCCTCTGAGGAATTCCAGAGGTGGTCGTGCCTGGAATGAGTGAAGTAGGGTCATCAGCCTTCTGTCACGGTCTGCGTATTTCTTCTTTCTTTTCGCTGCACCGTGGCCAGCATCCAGCTAATCGTTACGGTTTTGATTGTCTGATATTTTACACCCAAAACGTACTAAATTGAACCCCTACTGTTGATGTTTCAACCAGCTAACACAGTGTTTTACTCTTACCAGTGGTGATGATTGGAATAAGGGATTAATTCAGTAAAAACTCGCTGCTTTTCAGAGCTATTCTTCCATCTTTGTAATTTTTGTGCTTACCATTTTGGTCATTTTGGTCACAACTTAACCGTGGAAATGTAGTAATTTTTACACGCAAACCCGACACATGCACTCAGTGGTTATGCGACGTCTGACTGTACATGTACTACATTTGCCACATAACGTGCAACCAGCGCCAGTACGTCAGTGCCAGCATTATTTTCAGCCCTGCGAAACTGAGCGCCAGTGAAGTAGCCTGACTACGAACCAGTCATTACAATTTTACAGTAGAATTTCGGTGAGCTGTCTTGTCGGTGATATAGCCATTCGGTGAAATGTCTTTCTGTGAAGTGTCTTTCGGTGAATTGTCCAGTCGGTGGATTGTCCATTCGATGATTTGTCTTTCGGTGAAGTGTCTTTCGGTGAAGTGTCTTTCGGTGAATTGTCATTCGGTGAATGGTCGGTAAACCCAAAACGTACTAAATTGAACCCCTACTGTTGATGTTTCAACCAGCTAACACAGTGTTTTACTCTTACCAGTGGTGATGATTGGAATAAGGGATTAATTCAGTAAAAACTCGCTGCTTTTCAGAGCTATTCTTCCATCTTTGTAATTTTTGTGCTTACCATTTTGGTCATTTTGGTCACTGTGGAAATGTAGTAATTTTTACACGCAAACCCGACACATGCACTCAGTGGTTATGCGACGTCTGACTGTACATGTACATGTACATGTACTACATTTGCCACATAACGTGCAACCAGCGCCAGTACGTCAGTGCCAGCATTTCAGCCCTGCGAAACTGATCGCCAGTGAAGTAGCCTGACTACGAACCAGTCGTTACAATTAGTAGAATTTCGGTGAGCTGTCTTGTCGGTGATATAGCCATTCGGTGAAATGTCGTTCTGTGAAGTGTCTTTCGGTGAATTGTCCAGTCGGTGGATTGTCCATTCGATGATTTGTCTTTCGGTGAAGTGTCTTTCGGTGAAGTGTCTTTCGGTGAATTGTCATTCGGTGAATGGTCGGTAAACCGTGGTTTCTTCACAACGTCGTATGACATAATTATCCAAATCAGTTTTCGTCAGCGAAGCAAGTGTTTTCTGTGGACAGACTCAATGCTCAGTAGCGCTGCTATCATAGAATCAGGCTTTGTCTTTTTGGAGAAGACCAAAAGTGCCATGAAATATTGACCGCTAGCTGTTGCCCATGCCCACGGCTGGCCACGGTGTCCGTATGTTCTGAGCAAGTCCATGACACTGGAAGGTAAGCGCGGATACTGATATCATGATGTTCTTGGGCTCAGAATAAACAAGCATACTGGTCGGGCGAATTATTGGGTTTCGGTAGCTTAGAGTTCGTGTTTTAGCGTGAGAAACACACCTGCTAGGTGCTTGGTTTGAAGAAGGTGAATGTCGGTCACATGACTCAGAAGCACGTACACACTGGCTGCCTTGTGCTACCAAGAGTTCATAACTCTTTATGAACTCTAGTCTTGGTGCTACGGATGACAAGACCGCCGTTTCAAGTAGGGCTCAAACGGTCACGGTTTTACCCCTAACGGTTAACTGCTAAGCTAACGGTCGGTTTAACGGTTATAACCTATAAGCCACGGCAATCCTGCGGACTCTTTTTTTACCGTATATTTGACTATACTCATTCAAAAAATGTACCCTATTCAGTACAATGCACACATGTACATTCTCTTGCATGCTCATTCATACATACTCTCACACCGAGAGACCAGATATGACTGAGTTGACAGCCTAGAAATTGCGTACGCGTGCGACAGCCTGCGAAAGTGCATACTTTGCAACGACCTGATACTTGGAAAAAATTGACTGAAAAGTTACTGCGCAACGGTTATCTTTATCGGTTAACCGTTAATCCTTCGTAACCGGTCTGCAACCGGTTAATCGGACAAACCGTTTGAGCCCTAGTTTCAAGAACACGTAGCTAATGTTAGTTCGGGGTCTCCATACCTGCCAGCCTTAGTAAACCTGAGATCGGGACAATGACATACCTAGGTACGAGAATACAAATGTAGCTATGAGGCATGAGACAAACGGCCAAATCGGGATGGTAGGCAGGTACGGGTCTTGCATTTAGGTACACCATGCCAGTTCTAGTAATAGTAGCGACTTCAGTCCAAAATTCTAAAATCGGAATTAGGGCCAACAAATTACACGGCTGGAAAGAGAAACCTCTGCAGAACACATACAGAACATTTCATGGGTTTATCTTGTCCCAAACCGGAGATATCAGGCCCCAAAGTTGGTATGCAATCGTCGGAAGCCATGTATGCAATTGTATGCAGAGCAATGGCACAAAAGTAGGTTTCCCGGACCTCATGAATATCATGCAACACAGTGAATGTATGCGCGATATGCGGGTTTCTGGTGTTCTTGGAGGGTGATGGAGAATCCGTCGTACATGTAGATGTTGGACGGGACGTGCTCTGCTTCGATGGATTGAAATAATCACCTCCTTACTGCTCAAGCACCTCCAGACTCTTGACGTGAAGAACATAATCATTACTAGCGGATTTACTAGCCAAAGGTCTGCTCGCTCCGTCACGCAGAGCCCGTCAAATAGTGCACTCCATAGCCGACTTCAGCCGCTGCGCACAAATTCTTCAAACTGCTAAAAACGGCTACGGAGGAGAACCTTACCATGAACCCATCTAAACTAATTCGAGGGCTCTGAACACGATGGTGACTCGGTCATTGACGGGCAAGGTAGCTGAGATGCCGAAAGTTTGCTTTGAAAAACAAAAATACGGAGCGATATATCCAAAAATCGAGGACTCGTGACATGCGACACACCGTTGGCAAGCTATTCATGTGTGCTTGCCCATCATGTAAAAATCGAAGGCACTGGGTACATGAATAACGCGTAGGCAGGCGTAGAACGTCGAGAGAAAAATTGTTCCGTGCACGCCATGCTTGCACCATACATTCGTGCGACGAAGGATTTCTGCCTTTTGGTCACGTGATTGAAGTCGCTAGTAATAGGAATTCATGCAGTCGACTCCCATTATAATGAACATCATTGTGCAGGATAATTATTCGTTCTTTATAGCCTTCGTTCTTTGTAACATTGGTACGTCGTCCCTACATGCTCCCTGTGTATTGTTTTGTGTTTTGTCTCGACATGTCCCACAGTAGAGCTGTGGTCTTAGTAAAAATTGTTTTTACTGTAAAAACAAAAAACAAAACAAAATACGCACTCACACAATTTCAAGCAGCAAGTCTTGACTGGCCATGATTGACTGCATGAGTGCACTTGGTTTGCATGCAGCCCTTACGGTCGGTATAAACGAAAATGGTTCGCTACACTGAGAGGGTCAATTTTGTATGTTTCAAACTTCAAAGTTCAAACAGGGACATGGCCAATGGTTCGCTATACTAGTACCACGAAATTCTCTATATGTATATGCGATTTCGTTATATGTGGAGTCGACTGTACTTTGCCCCTTGACGATGATTAGAAAAGAACAACCGGTGAGTCGTGCACGGGATTTACTACACGGTGCATTGGTTTCATTTCTATAACGCAGTAGCAGAAATAGTGATGTCATATGCCAGATCTTTGGCCGACTTCCCACCTGAAATGTATGTGATTTAGACAGTTACGGACATTTCTAAGTTATCGGCAGTGCCCGGGACCGGACTGGCCGGAAAAGAGAGATATGGGTGCACAAGTAAAGAAGATTGCTGAGAACACAGAAAAAACAAGTTAAAGTAGTGACGTGTCTGTTACTCCGAACATTGGAGTTTGTGTGCGTCATGCCGAGCAATTTGATATTTGGCTGATTCACGGCTGCTGCCTGGAAGACATGAGAAGCACAGCAAGCCTTCCACTTGGCAAGCCTGCAAGAAAGCACCACTTCCTGCTCAATACACATGTGCTTTATGGAATTCACCCCACATCAGTTGAGCTTGAGTAAGATAATGATTTTTTCAGTTGACAGGAAGCGCGAGCTCCAGCACGTGGGCCAGTCACCTTCTTCACGTATTACCACTGACATCACAGCATCGTACTTAGTCAGTTCGGGAAGTACAACTCGAGTACTGAACATGTGACTGCAATTTGCCCAGAGCAGGGCAATACAAATATTGCTGGAAATAGCGGAGCTGATACTCAGCGATACAGCAATCAGCAGTGGAAAAAGAAGAGAACGAAAGCCTCAGTCTGATCTCTAGATTGTCAGCTGTTCTATCTTGTGAGCTATCTATTGTGAATGAAACCATTGTGCCAGCCACACATAAATTAAGGCAAACTACATTTTGTGAGTAATCAAGTAACCCGTTTTCGTAGAGAATAACCAGTAGCCTGGATTGTGCATCCGAAGAGATCACAATCAGTTAACCGGTCCTATTATTGGGAGCTAACCTACGCCTACTACATGTTGACGCAACAGATATCTGTATGTGATTCTATTATTGGCACTGTTGGCTAACAGGTATAATTGGATAATTGCATGATCGTTTAGTAAAAGAGTAATTAGTGCGCACACACATACATACTCACACATGCAAACACACACACACACACACACATACACACATACACACACACACTCACACACACACACACACACACACACACACACACACACACACACACACACACACACACACACACTCACACACTTGTACTTGTACTTGTTGCGCACTGCCAAAACTGGTCACGTGAGTCCCCCCGGGAGAGGGGAGAGAGACTCAAAAGGAATCTTGGAAAGATGACTCAACTGGTTATTGAACCGCCCAACGGCCGACACCCCCTGAAATCCCCAAAACTCTGGGTGGACTTGAAAATGATCCCACTTATGGGCTCACCACACCTCAGTAAGTGGGTGAGGACAAGGTGCAGAAAAAGGATTGACGGCATCAGGGTATCCGTCCTGGGATCCAACTGCAGTTACCCCGGCCCCCAGTGAAGGTAATATTTGCTACTAGTGTGAGTGGCTAAATCAGAGTGGATCTGATAAAAGCTTCACTAGCACCATTGATTACACAAGAGTTAATCTAGCCAGAAGCAGTCCATGGTTAACAGGTATGTATACTTCAAATAGAAAGTATATGAACCCTGGAACCAACAAAGGTGGCAGGTACAACATTACACCTTCAAGCAGCCGAGCCTGTTGGCAACAGACCCAACACAATCAGGCATACGTGTACCTACCAACCGAACTAGCTGGCACTCACATACACACATACACACATACACACACACACACACATACACATACACACATTCACATACACACACGCGCGCGAGCGCGCACACACACACACACACACTGGCGCCCTCCCGGCACGTTCTAGACTTTCGTGTCGTGTTCAACGCCGTCTGCATGATACCTCCGGCTTCTTCTTGGCGATCGAGATGGAGCGTTGGCTGCCGCACCATCGTCAGGTCTGAGTGGCTCCAGTCTTCTTGCCGGTGCGGTGGCATCAGGCAAGTGGGTGATCAAATCTCTCCACGGGTCCGCGCCAGTACCAGCCATATAACTGTCGTAACTGGGAGGAGGTTGTGAAGCGGATACTTGCCCGGTTGGTGCTTGCCCAGTCGGTGCAGGAAGATGCGGATACATCAGCGCAGTTGGCGACGTGGGTGGAAGCCGCACGTGTGTTGGCATGTTTGGCATACCGCTGCCGTCCCTTCCTGTACCACCGCTAGCCGGCTCCAAAAAACTGTTACGGCGTGGAGTTATAGGTGGGGCAGTTGGAGAGTTGTCTTGACTGCTGTACAACGCCATATTGACGACACTGGGAGAGCGACTCGAGGGCTGACTTCCAGCCGGACTGTCATCGGGTGATTGCTTCGACATTCCCTCCGAAATCAGCCTGTCCTCATCCCCGGACTGTCCAATGGGTCGTCTTACATAATATTTCTTGTAAACTACAACAAGGCAGATTACTATCAGCACCACCAACACTATGGCAACAATTGGTGCAATTACTGTTTTGTGACTGGTTTGTGATTCAGGTGGTTGTGGGCTTCCCGCTACATCGGCTGCAAGGAGCAGAAAGTGGGCACAGAATACACGCCCTTAAGAATCAGATCCCAAATACTTTTGATGGCATCCAGACTTTGGATGTTCAACCGGTTTCAGTACCAGGTAACCAACCCTCCCGAAATGAGTTAGGGTGATGCCTCAGCAGAGAAATACAGTGCATCACACTCCCTCATATTACTGTGGAAGCAGCGTTTGCCATTCAGCCAAGCGCCGATCTCTTTTCACCTGATCTTTGCGTCCCGTGAGTTGGGAAGTAACTGTTATGGGGAAGAATATTAACATGGAGCTTTTAAATTCAATTTTACTCACTTGCTACTTCTACATGTACACAAGCACTTTCACACACGTACCAATATGTACATACACACATACATGTACATACATACACATGAATGTACACACACACACACACATACACATACACATACACACATACACACATACACACATACACACACACATACACACACATACACAGTGACTACACACACACACACACACACACACACACACACACATACACACACACACGCACACACACACACACACGCACACACACACACACACACGCACACACACACACACACACACACACATACACACACACACACACACACACATACACACACACACATACAAACACTGATGCACATACACACACACACACACACACACACACACACACACAGGGAAGTATAAACCCATCAGTGGGCAGGGGTGAGGGGGGGCTGAGCCGGACCAGGTTTGTCGGCCCAGCAAACTCGGAGTACGACATGGTCCACTTCACAAAAGGCCCCAGACCCGGAAATGTCTCATCCAACCACCTCTGTGCTTTGCCGTCTTTTTCTTGTTGCGGTCACAGCACGAAATCCCACAACACACAATCCCATTACTATGCATGCAAGGGAATATGCATTTCTACGTACACATACTTCCTTCACACCCAGAAGTGTTTGTCATATGATAGCCGTGATTGCAAATGTCACATTTCAGTCCAGTTGAGCGGCTATTGCACATGCACTGTCCATCTTCATTGCACAGTTCGAGTTTACCGATGTTATTCACGAATGTTGAATTGATTGCAAAGCAACCACAACCTGAGGTCATACAATAATTTCAAACATGGCCCGAGGCTCATCTGCCGGGGCTTCTTTACACACCAGGAACATCAAACCCTACAAATGTAGTTCTCCTTTCGAGGACAAGAGGGCAATATGTGATAAAGGGAAGTATGTGTCTGTATCGATATATGACCGGTGTGCATGTCTCTGCAGTTAAGGTGACTTGCAAGATGTATGTTCTTGCAGACCAATGAAATGTTTGGCGAAATGTATGGGTAGGCAGGTCGAAGACCATATTTTAAATCAAAGTGGTTTTTGACCTTTGAGCCCGAATCCAGACCAAATCGGGTTTTCAAAAGCCAGCGGGACTATTTTGGATGAATAAACTGTACGTAGGTCTTCAGGTTTGCCGGAAAAGTACCTATCCAACAGTGGAAGCAATGGGGGTGAAAGCAATGGCGGTCGATTCATAAAAGTACACAATCAGCCAGTAGTACTGAATTTTGACGTCCATCCATGTGTCCCCACTCATAAAGTCAATGATGGGCAGGATGAACTCTTCCAGTTGGTATCGAGAAATGGGGAAATCAAGAGGGCCGAGTTTTAAGACTTTTCTAACCTAACTTTAATAGCCGGATTTAGCTAAAGAACTTGGCTGGCTTGGCCAGGATTGGGTTTGAATACCGCAACACATCCAACCCATTGATCAGAGTTAAACCGAATACGCCAAAGTGACTCTCACAATACTGGCGCTGGTCGTCTAACAGGCTACCTGCACAGACCGCAAATTGTTTCAACTTGTTGCATGCGTGTACTTGGTGGAGTTTAGGGCCGAGCACGGGTAGTTGAGAGTGCCCACGTTGCCTGTGGATCACACTTCGTGATCGGGCAAGAAAAACTGGCTGAAACTGGCTTCTTATGAGCACATATGGGGTGGGGGGGGGGGGGGGTGAAGTGGACCGGAGATGCTGTTCACACACTTACCTTGGCAGACGAGGCGTGGTGAGCACGGTGGACTCTCACAGGACTCATCCAGCTGATAGTAGTCTGGCATGCACTCATCACACATTGCTCCCTTGTACCCCGCCTTGCACTGGCACTCAAAGTCTGGATAATTATCGTGGCACTGGCTGCTACTGGCAGCTAGGCACGGACACACCTCGCAGCCCTTGCCGCTCTGCAGGCCATAGTGAAATGCTGCACATTCGCCACACTGGCGGCCAGTAACGTTCGTCAAGCATTGGCACTGTCCGCTTTGTGTGCTGCATGTTGTGTTGGTCACCGTGCCGCTCGGATTACACGCACACTCGGCACAGGAAAGACTGCCTCCTTTCTCCTGATGGTAGAAACCAGGTGAACATTGGTCACATCTGACGCCAGTTGCAAATGGTTTGCAGGCGCACTTGCCATTCACCGTGTTGCACACACTGCCGGAAAGTGAACCAAGCGGATCGCAGTCGCACTGACCGCACAGGGGGTAGCCAAAGTGATTGTGTTCACACATGTCGCATGTTCTGCCAATGATACTTTCCAAGCATGTGCAATGCCCGCTTGTTTGATTGCACTCCAGGCTTGTAGATCCTTTTTCTGTGCACCCACATACAGTACAGCCAGTTCCAGTCGAGATCCCATAGTGTTCACTGATGCATTGATCACATTGTCTGCCCATTACATTTGGTAAACACACACATTGTCCACTTTTCGTATTACATTGAGCACCTTGCCGTGTTCCAATGGAACTACAGTTGCAATTTGAACACGATGGGAAGTTGTAGTGATTTGCGTGGCATTTATCACACTGACGACCTTCTACATTGACACCACATGGGCATTGTCCATTGGTCACGTTGCAAGAAGGATTCATACTCCCTAGAGTATTGCAGCCACATTGAGTGCAGCCCATGCCAGAAGCAAATCCATAGTATAAACTTGTACATCGATCACATTGTCGTCCGGTTACCCCAGGTAAGCAAACACAAGCACCAGTGAGAGCATCACATTGTGTACCTTGTTCAGTTCCCACAGCATCACAGTTGCATGGTCTACATGTTGGAAAGGAGTAATGATGCAATGCGCAATGATCACATTGTTTACCAACGACATTCGTACGGCAGTTACATTGTCCGCTGCCAAAGTCACAGTCCAAAGCACTGCTTCCTTGACTATCACATCCACATGGTTGACATCCATTACTGGAGGTGGTGTTGTAGTATCCACTCACACATTGGTCACATTGTCTGCCCATTACATTCGGTAAACACACGCATTGCCCACTTTTCGTATTACATTGAGCAGCTTGCTGTGTTCCAATGGAACTACAGTTGCAATTTGAACACGACGGGAAGTTGTAGTGATTTGCTTGGCATTTGTCACACTGACGACCTTCTACATTGACACCGCATGGGCATTGTCCATTGGTCACGTTGCAAGAAGGATTCAAACTCCCCAAAGTATTGCAGCCACATTGAGTGCAGCCCGTGCCAGAAGCAAATCCATAGTATAAACTTGTACATTGATCACATTGTCGTCCGGTTACCCCAGGTAAGCAAACACAAGCACCATTGAGAGCATCACATTGTGTACCTTGTTCAGTTGCCACAGCATCACAGTTGCATGGTCTACATGTTGGAAAGGAGTAATGATGCAATGCGCAATGATAACATTGTTTACCGATGACATTCGTACGGCAGTTACATTGTCCGCTGGCAAGGTCACAGTCCAAAGCACTGCTTCCTTGACTATCACATCCACATGGTTGACATCCATTACTGGAGGTGGTGTTGTAGTGTCCACTCACACATTGGTCACATTGTCTGCCCATTACATTCGGTAAACACACGCATTGCCCACTTCTCGTATTGCATTGAGAACCTTGTTGTGTTCCAAAGGAACTACAGTTGCAGTTTGAACAGGATGGAAAGTTGTAGTGATTCGCTTGACATTTGTCACACTGACGACCTTCTACATTGATGCCGCATGAGCATTGTCCACTGGTTACATTGCAAGACGTATTAACACTCCCGAGAGTGTTGCAAGCACACGCATTGCAGGTGGGAAAGCCATAGAGCCTGTCCTGACATTGATCGCAATCCCTGCCGAGAATATTCGCCCGGCAAAGACAGTGACCAGTGGTATGGTTGCAGTTGTTGTTCACACTGCCATCCTGGTGACAATGGCATGTCGTGCAGCCAGCCTGGCCCACGGCGGTTCCGTAGAATCCATCGCCGCAGCGGTCACAGTGCTCTCCTGCTGTGTTGTGCCTACACGTGGTGCATACACCTGTGTCCCTGTTGCATGAATTAGAGTGATTGTTACACCGGCAGGCAACACATTGGTGATGCAACGCGGCCGCGCCTGGTCCTGGCGTCGATGTGTAACCAGCCGAGCAGTGTTCACAGTTCAGGCCAGTGTACTCCGCTGGGCACGAGCAGTTTGACGAGCTTGCCGTGACGCCAGGCCCGACCATGGCAGTCGTGCAGACGGCCGAGCGGCCAGAGCAATTGCATTGCCGGCAACCCGCATCTTGGTTGTCCGCGCTTAAATAGTGAGTCCCAGATACGCACTCACTACACACCAATCCCGTGGTCAGTGTCTTGCAGGGACATTGCCCTGACAGCTTGTCGCATGTACCATTCCTAGATCCAAGAACATTGCAAGCACACTCTGCAGGAACATTAAAAAACCAAAATGATAGTTTGGTCTCTGTGCAATCTATTTTACTGCACTAAGCCCAGGGGCGTCACACATGGCACGACCAGTCCGACCATTGTAGTACCACTTTTCGTCCAGAATGGCCCGCCCAGAGTGCCTGTAGAACGCGCAAACGTGCCATGTTGGCCAAAAACTCCTATTTTCCCCAGTGGACCCCCCCCCCCCCCCCCCCGCGGCCCGGTCGTACCACTCCCCACTGCCCTGTGACGCCGATGAAGCCTACATACAAGTCGTAACTAAGCTGGCTGTTGAAGTACACATCGCATACATCACACACTGCCGAAGTACACAATCATCACACACTGTTGAAGTACACATCACACACTGCCAAAGTACACATCACACACTGTTGAAGTACACATCACACACTGTTGAAGTACACATCACACACTGTTGAAGTACACATCGCACACTGTTGAAGTACACATCACACACTGTTGAAGTACACATCACACACTGTTGAAGTACACATCACACACTGTTGAAGTACACATCACACACTGTTGAAGTACACATCACATGACTTGTATGATTGTATTGTACATGCAGTACACATTAGAGAAGTACCCATGACTGATAAACATGAGCATGAAATCTGCCCCCATCGATTGCTCTGACAACTTGTGACAAGCCTCCCGCGAATCAAGTGCATTGAAATTGATAGTGCAGCCATAAGCTGCTACAAACATGTGCAAAGATTACACAGCACTATCCTCTGATATGCCAGAAATGCGTGAAACATGTGCTTCCTCATAGCCAGAAATGCACCGCTATTGGCACAAGCCGCCCACCCGGTGACGCAATCCAGGCCATTGTATATTTTTAAAGCTCAAGCCTATCAACTGGTACTGACAATTTCATCCTTGGAATTCAAATGAAAATGCGGAACGCAGGTGATTGTGTCGTACTGCTTAGCCTCCGAACTGCAGCACTTGCGCCAAAATACCAGTTGCATAATGCTTGTGCCGAACGTATGCACTGGCCGTGTTCTCATGTATGGTGAGATAATGGAATGTGATAACTTGTTAGTCGTGCGTGGCAAGTAATGTGCATGCCTTGGATTGCTTGCTAGGTGGGAGTACCCTACCCCTGTGATGGACATTGCTCAAAAATGCACGCTATGCACATTTCTTGCACGTAACTAGTGTTTTTCGAGCTCAACCCACAATAACGCTGCACTGTTTCCTGTATGGTAGAATTTTATCCTAGGATCACACTAAGACAATGTGCGAACAACAGCTAGCATTGACATAAGCAGTTCTGATGGCAGAATGTAAACATTACCTTTGCACTCTATGAACGAGCCATTCCACAGCCCAGTGTGGAGGCAGGTCAGTAGTGAGTGCCCTGCTCCGTACTGTTTGTAGCCATCATTGCACCGCACGTGGATGGCACTGCCAAACGATGTGGCATTCGACAAGAGGGTTCCGTTTCCCACCTCCGGCGCTGAACAATGCACGATATTGCACACTGGTAGCACTCCACTCCACGTTCCCGTTGACAAGCATTTCAGTTGGGAATTGCCTTGCAAAGTATACCCCTGAGAACAGTACATCTTCCAAATGCTGCCGTATTTTGTTTTGTTTGATGATGATTTCAGGTGCGGAGCCAATGGCAGCGCAGGACAGTCGATGATCTGACAAGTTGGAACAGGTTGCGACCATTTGCCGCTTTCAAGGCAATGCGTTCTCTTAGCGCCAATCAGGGAGTGGCCAATATAACAGAAATAGGTAACTGTCTGTCCGTAATGCCAATCGGAGCCTATGCTGGTAATGCCACCATTGGCAGGGACGACAGGCGCTCCACATGATATAACTGTACAGGAAAGAAGAACATGGTGGGTATGCATGATGAGAACATGGCGGGTATGCATGAGAGATAATAATTATAGAGTAAGATGTGGGTGGTGGCCGGGTGGCCGGGTGTCAGTCGGAGTAACCACTTGTTGTACTCATGGCCGTAGCCCAAACCCAAACACACAACATTGCATTTATGTCATGGATGCCTGGTATCGAATCGCTCAAGCATAATCAGTTGGTACTACACACTCCAACAAGTTCAGAAGATACATACAGTGCAACCTCGTTAAGAAGAACACTGACAAGACAAACTTTCGCTTTAGAAGAACTAGTATTTGCAACTCTCTTTGATAAATCACTATGTGACCACTGGTTAGGAAAATATGGATAAGAGGAACTCCTGTTAATGCGAACAGATCCCATCAATCCCTCGGTGTTCCTCGGTGTTCCTCGGTGTCCCTCGGTGTCCCTCGGTGTTCCTCGGTGTTCCTCGGTGTCCCTCGGTGTCCCTCGGTGTTCCTCGCTGTTCCTCGGTGTTCCTCGGTGTTCCTCGGTGTTCCTCGGTGTCCCTCGGTGTCCCTCGGTGTTCCTCGGCGTTCCTCGGTGTCCCTCGGTGTTCCTCGGTGTTCCTCGGTGTTCCTCGGTGTCCCTCGGTGTTCCTTGGTGTTCGTCCTAAAGAGGTTTGACTGTGTAACGGTTGGCACCATCACCATCAAGTGCAAGACCTACACCATCACCATTACCATCAAGTGCAAGACCTACACCATCACCATTACCATCAAGTGCAAGACCTACACCATCACCATCAAGTGCAAGACCTACACCATCACCATCAAGTGCAAGACGTACAGCTGACCAGAACCACTACACATGTAACTATCACCAGCATGATATAAATTATTATCACTGAATCAGGTTCTTACACGAACAAACAGACAGATAGGCACGTGAACACATAAATCACATAATTCGTGCACAAAACACCCCCCCCCCCCCCCACACACACAAATACACACACACACACACACACAAATACATACACACACACACACACACACACACACACACACATGTACACCGTAACAAAAGAATCCGGCATACGCACTCTTGCACACACTTACATACATGTATACATACACACACTTACATACATAGGAATATATACATACTCAAGTATACAATCACACACAGGTGGTATCTTACCTTCACATATAGCCGTTACATTGTTTTTCTGGTATCCAATATTACACAGGCACGCATACGACCCTCTCGTATTGCTACAGTGCATTGTGTCTTGTGGACATAAGTCAACCGACCCTGCACATTCATCAATATCTGAAGCAATTTAAAACGTGCAGAAAGGTTGCATCATGTTGTGGAGAGTAATGGGGAAGTGATTTATTTCTCGCCCCCTTCAGTTTGACTAATAAGGCAGAAGACTCAGAGGCAAACGGTGATTTGAGATAATGAAGAGTCGATACAAAAGAGCCATCAAACCTTCAAGGAGAAGAAGACAAACAACCACCCGAACTGTGAATGACAAAACGAAAATAGAGCTTCATGCATGGTGATGAGGTAGAACACCTCCTTGCATTTGCCTTGCCGAACGTTGTATGGTCTCAAATTGAGCAGATGATCCATGCACTAGTGTCTGACAGAGAGAAAAGGACCTGAGAGTAGAGGAGAGAGAGAGAGAGAGAGAGAGAGAGAGAGAGAGAGAGAGAGAGAGAGAGAGAGAGAGGAGAAAGAGAGGAGGGTATTTCACCACCCAACTATGAATTTGGCAGTGCTGCTTCTCCGATGGCTGATGTAGTCGGACTACAATAAGAGGCTATTCTTTTTTCTCCTGTACTATGGCTGCCGAGGCCCAGACTGTAATGTATGTCATGTGGTGGCTTGTGTAGCTGTGGAGCAGAAGTAAAAGAACAGGCACCGTAAATGGCTGTAAGTAGGTACGTGTCCAGTTTTGAATTTTGTGGTTACACCCGTACCAACTGGGGGGGGGGTGTACTGACTTTTGGGCACTAACTAACTTCCGGGCCTAACTTGTGTGTAGTGGAGAAGTCACTTTTGCTGTTCATGTACATATAGGTGTACATGATACGCGGTGCACGTGAAAACCGTACCGATTCTTCTTTTCGGTAGTATGTTCAAACAAGTCAAAAGAATGTGTGTGTGTGAGGGGGGGGGGGGGTATGTATTTGGGCAGGTACCGTATTTTCTAGAGCATAAGCCGAACCCAGATTTTTGTCACGTAATACAGATATCTAACCTGTTTACCACCACTACTAATATCACCATCTTAGTATAAGCTGCACCGACTTGACTTGGGTGAATTACAGGTGTTTAAAGACAGTTGATTGGTTGAGAGACTAACCTCCTCTCCCCTGACTCATTTGAGAGACTAACCTCCTCTCCCCTGACTCACTTGTGAGGTCTGCATTCGCCACTAAGGTTAACAGGCATAGTGGTGGCCTGCGGATGCGAAGGCTAGTTTGTGTGTTTCTGAACATTCAAGCGATGCCGACGCGGATCCCGCGAATATTATTATTATTTTTTTAATAAAGACAGTTTAAGTGCGGCTTATACTATAGAAAATAGTTCAAAGTACGATACATTTTTTTGCGTGATTTTGCGGTATTGCAGATGTGAGCATGTGCGCGCGGGGCTCACCTTCGCATGTTACTTTGTCGGTTGCAAGGGAGTATCCGGATGAGCAGTGGCACAGAAAAGAACCATTGGTATTCTGGCATATATCCGAACATGCCGATGCACCGTGGCATTCGTCAATATCTGAATTAAAGGACACAAAATTGAGAGCAGCAGTCAAATGCCAGACCATAACTCCTTGGCAGTGCACTGTACAGAGCGGAATCAAGAATTCAGTCGGATGATTCCTGCAGTCTCAACGTTTTTAGATGGCATTCACCCAAACTCCCCATAATTGTTCTAAAGGACTGGACTTGGTCCACAAGTGGGAGTTCTTCCCAGGGCGGACTATGCATTCATGTCGAGCACAGTGTGTTTGTCTCACTCTAGTTGTACGTGTTCTTCTTACCATTGCATTTGCCATGTATGACAGCATCCAACGTGTAGCCCCTTTGACAACTGCAAATAGCAGTGTGTGTGGTTAGATCCTGCACACAGAGCTGTTCACAGCCACCGTTATCCTTGCAGGGCCGAATGGCTGTGGGAGAAAAGGCAGCAAGGAATGGAGATCGACAGAGTATACAAGAAAGTCAATGCCGGTTCAAATACTTCAATGTACATGTTTTGTACAGGTGCCTAGTAGCTTGTAGAAAGCGCGTATATTGCTCGTTTGTCCTTAGAGTGTTCCATGCCAGTCTGTGGTAGAGCTTTCCATACAATATGGAGAAATGAAGCTGTGTCACAAGGCAGAGTTTCATGTAGTTCACGATCATTAGGCAACCTGCCTGCACTCCTTGTTGGACTATTGGGTACAGTTAGGCGTCTTCAATATGGCAATTGTCAGGCAGATGTGATACAGATCAATAGGTGTTGGGTAAGCGACTTACGCGAGCAACGGCTGCTTCCGTTGAGAGCAAAGCCCACATCACAATAACATTGATATGATCCTTGCGTGTTGTTGCAGAATTTCTCGCAGTCATCAGTATTGAGAGTGCACTCATTGAGATCTGCACATATCACACAGTCATAATTGACGAGGCAGCATCTTTTTTCCACGGCAGTGCCATATTGAATTCTGCAGTGGAGCAATCTGCCCCAGTTTGTTACAACTGTTTCTTGCCTCACGCATGCTAGAAGCTGATATACAAGTCTTACCCTTTTTCAAGAGTCGGCAGAAAGTAATGATATTACAACTCTTCCACAAATACACTGCATGTACATGCTCAACTACAAAGTATGTTATGGAATGCGTTGAGACCGTTGAAGCGACTAACCAGAACACGTCTTGTCATCAGGATTCAGAGCAAAGCCAGCGTTGCATGCGCATGTATAGTTGCCCTGTGTGTTGGCACAGACCTGCTGACATGGTGAAGATGACCGGTTCCTGCACTCATCAAGATCTGCACAGAGATCATTCAACAATTACAAAACTGGTGAGTGACATTAGATAACTTTTCAAATGCATACTGAGACTATTGCGTGAGGCAGGGCGTGTGGTGGCAAGAATCTGTGGATTTAGTACCCAGGCTTAAAACGGTTTTAAGGCAGCAAGCAAGCATGCAGCAGTCATCAAAGAACTTCTTTTCTCTATTATACATAATATGAGTAAGGTTTACACGCTTGAAAATTGCTGTCTGATGCTCGATTAAAACCGTGAAACTCAGAGTTACAGCAGAAGCGCTTTTGATTCCTCTCAAGTGCGTGTACAAGGCTCTGCACATTGAGCACTGTCACGAGCAACCACAACACTCTCCGAGTGAGTAAGGTTTACGATTCATCGCTGCGTATTCCATGATTGCTCACTCGCAGTGTGCACATGTGATGAATAGAAGGGGGTAGTCGGGTGTTCATGACGAGCGAGCATTAACTGCAATTTCTACATGTGCACATCCGGTATCAGCTCACAGTTTTGCAATGGAACTGACTGGGATATGCCTCTAAGTTATATTCCAACCTGTAACAAGCCACCTCTGTGATAACAGACAACCCCCCCCCCCCCCCCCCAAAAAAAAAACCCCCTGTTACGTAGTGTTCTATGCCAAGCTCCAACAAGAAATCATCTTAACCTGGGTATGGTGGACACCTGTCTTTGTACCACGAAGTGCATGCTAAAATGCAGGCTTGACCGAGCAGGCCAGGATAATCCGCTCTTCCACCGCTTGCCTGCCTCATGTGTGCGAGACACACCGCATGCGCAGAGTGTTGTATGTGATGCTAAGGCCACGTAGCCCCCGGCACTATACTATTCATGGGGGGGGGGGGCAGGTTTCTGTGGCTAGGACAAGTTTCAAGCAATCTGCACTAAGTATAGCCTTTCATTACACCAGCCTGTTATTAGGTCCCGGTGAGTCATCGGCCCTGCTACGTACCTATGCAGATCTTTCCGACTCCAGTAAAACCAGGAGGACAGGCGCCACACAGGTAGCCAGTGTCCGGCGCAGGCTTGTCGAAACAGTCCACGCCGTCGGAGCAGGGTTGATACGCCGCCTTACACCCGTCCCGATCATCCTTGCAGAATTCGCCAGCGCGTGCAGGAGGGCACTCGCATGCATGGATGCGCGTCCGCTCTGAACTGCGCGAGGAGAATGTGGCATGGGAGACGTTTCCCCCGTTGTTGCAGTTGCGAATGTAGACAATGGGACGAATGAGCACGGTGGCGGATGTATCTGGAGAAATGATCAGGAACTGCAGATTGGTGGCTTTCACATTGAAGTCCACTGCCAGAACAAAGATGTCAGGCCGGGTGCTTGTTCGCTCATCTGAGAACGAAGAGTTCTTGGCTGGTATTCGCTCAACCCGATATGAGCTTTTATCCAGTGTGACATTGGAGAGGTCCACTGTCAATAGCCCTCCCGAGGATATAAACACGGGAGATGTTGTATTCACCCGGATTGGATTGACAACTGGAAATGCACGATACAAACATGGCAAGAGAGCACAACTTCTGTGTGCTTGCACAGTACACTGGATATACCATTGCCGGGCTGCAACATACTTCATGTAATGGAATAACGTACTTGAAGAGTTCTTTTCGAAACCTGGCATGATATGAGATGTATCAGCCTGTGGACTTTGGCTGGATGAACAGAATATTGAGCATTTTTGGCTTTTAAGTACAGCGTTTCACAAGCCTTGGAGGTATGTTATGCAAATGTTTCATCGTACTTCAATTTGAAATTGTAGACATACTAATGCGTGTACATGTCGTACTGTCCGCATCTATGATATTCCAATATTTTTTTATTAATTTTCACGAAATCAATCGCTGGTTGACATACACATGCATGCCGTGCACATGTAGATTGGAATTCTCTTACCTTCACCGCACCCTATGATGCGCATCAGCTCTTTGGTATAGTTGAGATCTTTGGTGATATTTGCCACCAGGTGGCACAGAGCGTTGTTGATCTTGCATGACTTGCATGTTTCGTTCACTTGCGGCCAGAAGTCATCATAATACTCAGGTGGCAGGGTTGTTGGACTGCTCGTTGTGGTGGGTGACATGGTACTGGTACCATTTGATGCACAGCGTGGATCCTTGGCTAATTGTAGTGCACTGCAGTTCAATTTCCCTGTTGAAGATGGACACGAGACATCACCAATATGCTCATTGCAAAATGACGTAGTAGTTTGTGACGCCAACACCCCGCATTGCCACCCTAGGCATGGTCGTGTGGAATGTTGAACAGTGCATTGCTGATCCCATTGTCATCGGGGGTTGTTCTATCCGACGATATGCCTTTCCGATTACTCTCACTCATGCACGCATATACCACATACAGAGGACCAGTTATTCTTCGCTGCCTTCTTCCTGAGACTTTCCTTGGTGCCAGAACGAATAATTGGTCCCCTGTATGTGGTGTATGCGTGCATCGTCGGATAGAACAACCCGCGATGACACCAGCATACTCACATGCATCACTCATGCATTTCATATTTTGGCAATGCGCCTTGGGCCTATAAGTCAGAAGTTCACACACATGCACATAGATCTCAAAAGGAACCATTGCTGCATTTCATCATACTGTTTGTTGCGAAGAACCAAAACTCACATCTATTAATTGCATCGCCCTGTATTGGCAGTAGAGACGGTCCATCTATGAATAAGAGACCTCGGCTGCTATTCAGAAGGCTTTGTGGACAGCCGACTGTGACAGCAATGGTTCTCCTGTGCGGAAAGAGGACAAGGTCGACCGAGAAGCCACTTTCAAACACCACGCTGCCGTGAGTGCGATTGTGCACGATGACGCTGAAGCCGTTATGAGCGCTGATGCCAATCGGTGTCGGCCGCGGAGCGGTCGTACTGTTGCTCGGAACCCTGGTGCAGTTTCGATTCCACTGCAGACACTCGTACGTGATGCTGACACCGTCGTCACTGAACACTTTGAACACTTTGTTACTCAACGGTTGACCATTAACAGTGAAGGAGAGTGCACCCTCAGCAGACACACCGGCTACACACTGGTCAGTGCTGTTTCCCTGCATGCCAATGCTGGTGACCTGTTGAGGCCCGTCCCCACTGGTCTTTGAAATCACAATTTCACACCGGAAATAACCAGGACTATCCACCAGTAGGAAGTTGCCTCTTTGAAACATTGTATACTGTCCTCCGGGTATAGTGCGGATGATCGGAAGAGCAACAGTTCCTGCAAGAACGAGTGCACATTACATAGCCAGGAAACAAGAAAGCAATCGGCAACAGCCTGATTTGAGATACATATTGCTGCTTTTCTATCTAAAGGATAAACAAGTCCAAGGTAGGAGAGAACCATATGGAGGTTTCAATGGATTCAAAACAGGTTTATTCAAACAATACTACATGGAAAGAAGGATGAACAGCAAAGATGACAAAACATGAAGGTTTCAATACTGATCATACATATCAATGGTGCAACCAAGTCTTCCTTGCCGCTACTCAGAGTCTCTTGTCTGAAAAAATAAACTTATCAGATGGCATCTGTTGCTGTTTGTGAATTGCATTACTGGCTCTGTCCTATGGACATGGGGCACTATATGCAGCCCGAGGATCTTAAACACTTGTGTACAGGTTTCAATGCGTTGAAGTCTCCCAATAAATTTTGCTATAAACTTACTTACCAAGACTCTGCCTGGAATAGGCGATGCTAGACTGACTAGGTCGTTTCTCCCAGTACAGGTGACAGAGAGCTGAGTCCTCACAGCACCATTGCCGTGGCAGGGTCTCCTCGTAGCTGACTGTAGTCGGCTCAAAGCTCAGCCAAGAGAAGCGTACTGAGTTACCACCATCAGGTGGACCTTCAAGGAATGCCCCGTATCCCAAGGGCAGTGTTCGATAACAGCACTCCTGAGATGAACCGGTGATGGATGGGACAGAATTCTGGAAGCACGTCCGCGGGGAAAGTTTCCGAATGAGTTGAAATCGGGAGTCGGCTTGAGCTTGCGCAAGGATCTGTGGACAAGCATTGAAGTATTTCATCCATGTCCTTGGGTCTGGTTGAGATGCATACCACCGAAGGCACTTTGCCCTTGGACCGTCAATGACACCTTTGTATAGCCTGAAGATATACATGGCTCCTTCAGTGCACGCTTGCTGGAAGAGGTATTGGTTGACGGAGTCCACTTGATCATCGATGCCGCTGATTCTGAAGGTGCCTGACCGCCTGTCATTGTAATATTGCTCCGGCGTTGAATAGCCCATAACGGAATGACCGTACGTGACCCGTGGGTTACGCAGCACTGGGATCGACCACTGGATGGAGTTGACATCGTAGGCGAACGTGGTGTAGGATCGCAGGCCGTCTGTTGCCATGACAGCTTGAAATGTGTTATGCTGTGCGGGAGCAGAAACAGGGAAATGCCGTGGAAGCAACATGAAAGCACGCAATGATTGAAGTTTGGCAATAGTGCGGAAGGGAAAACAATTCACATTTTATGGGAGGCTCAGAAGGGTATTGTACACCTTTGGCAATGGCAAGACAAATGAATCTATGTGAGTGGTATTGACACGAATGAATCCAGATACTTGTTTTCTTCTCTAGTGTTTTTTTTTATCCACAGTTAAGAGTAGAGCCCATACGCTCTCTTCCTTTAACACTGCAATAGTTCAACTCATTTCACAATAATTATTCCAATGTTTCAGCAAATTGCCTTCATCAGGTTCACAATGATGTGCAAGCTCCCAAACCAGCATTGATAAAGGCCAACTCCCCTGTCAATAAGAGGGTGTGAGAAGCAGCGCGAAAAGAGTCCAGCTAATAGTGCTAACATCAACTATCAGTGGAGGGGACTACAGCTGAGGTAAAAACAAAAACAAAACAAAAAACACATTATCCAGCGCCGAATGTCATGATAATCAGACAATAAGCGAGTGGCGATACAAATTACAGCAAAGACCACCCAGCGTTAGTGTTTATCTTTGGAGCCAAATTTCTGATCCCCACAGCCTCCTTCAATTTCCTGCCAGCTCTGTCGCCTTCTCGAGCGAGGACTGATACTGCCTGTGAAGGCGCTATCTCGTAGTCTCAATCTCCTGCGCGAATGCTTGTTTCTCATGTGGTCACCCCAAGGCTTGTCACGAGTCTTTCGACATGCTTCTCCATTATGTTCCTTTAGACGGGTCTCTAGTGATCGTTCTGTCTCTCCAACGTAATATTCCGTACACCATTGGCAATCTATTCTGTATACTACATTCTTATTCATGCAAACCTTCTCCCCACCGGATTGGCAAAGTAAGACATGGCTCAAGTGGGCGGCCCCGTCTCCTACGTTGCGTAATATTCGGCTCCTTGACACACTGGGGTGGAGACTGTGCTGAACGACGTAATTGATTGCGGAGACTGCCCGAGTGCTCATAAACTACTCTTAATTTGTGAAAAGTGAAGACCTCCTAGTACTGTACGAGTGTACTCACACTCTATTCTGCATGGAACATCTTACAGTCATACAAATAGTACAAGTAGTACTGCTGACGTGAACAACAAACAAAAACGTATTTATAAGTGGGAGTGGGGGTATGCTGGCCAAACCTTACCAATTGGTACTTGTAGCGGCTTGGGTAGGGCGTGATTCTCTCCCATGTTACAATTGCTGCCCATGTTGCGGTGAAGTAGAATGATTTGTCAGTATTCCTCTCTTTAGCAAGGATCAAGCTCTCTATTTCCTCCAGCATTGCCTTCTCCGAGGACACCTGCCTGTCGTAGAAATGATACCAGACATGAGATCTGAGACCATCTGGAAGATTCTTGGAGTACGAGTTGTCAGCCAAGCACCAGTAGGGTGCCAGAATTGTTGGCTGTGTGGTCCAGTTTCCTGGGAACAGCTGGGGATGGCGGATGGGTTGATCTTGATCCAGCATGATCAGTCCATTCTCACAGATCTGCTCACCGGCGCACATATTCAAGAAAGAGCATGTCACAGCCTTGCCAAGGATACGAGTAGTGTATGTGCGTGTAGATGCCGGAAAACAAGTTCTCTTCTTCTTCTACATGTATGTATCTGCTACCGCAACCCTAACCCCAAAAGGCATGTGCCCTGAGCTGGGAAAGCCATCACACTGTAACCACAGATATCACTCTATTATGAAACAGGAGAAGCATGTTGCTCAAATTTTCAGCAGTAACTGAAGGTAAGATTGTTTCTTGGCATTTCTATATTATTCAATATTGTAAATGATCATGATTATTGAGATCACAAAACACTCTGTGACTTGGGAACTTGATGTGGCCTCTGGAGGATTTGCATGCGAATTGCCATATTTTCTGGGGTATTACGGGGAGTTCCACTAGCTCTCGAAGTGACTAATTGACTGATACCTAATCATAATAAAGTACATCATGTGACTTGGGATATAGAGCAGCAGGCGGTTGCAGGGTTGAGACCAATCTAATTCAGAAATAGAAGCGGAGCTTATATGGTTGACAATCACTTAAACTGCAAGCATGAATGCATTGGTACTATCATACTGACCAACCACCACAATCTCAATCCCTTGACAAGACATGCAGAATCCCTGGATTTCTCTCAAAATCCCTGGATGGCACAAAAACAAGTGAAAAAGAGCTTTTCCCGCCAAAAAACGTTCGACTCTGCAGCTGTGCGTACAGCACAGATCGACCCTAGGCTGTAGTACAGTTTGATCAGTCGGCGCGGCGCCCGCCTGTCACTTTGTCAGTGCAGATCTTGCAGGCATGGTCAGGTCTTCAAAGTGCTGTGCACAGTTCGAAGTGCGAATGAGCACCGTACATACCGTTGAAAAAAGTTCAAAAAACCGGGACATTCGGGCAGAAACCATGGAGTTTTCAGACAAAACTTTGGTTTTTCCGGGAGTTTGCTTGAAATCCCCGGGACCCCGGGAGGAGTGTTGATTTTCCGGGATTTTCCCGGGAAAAACGGGAGGGTTGGCCAGTATGTACTATGCCAGCTCCCTCTCTTTCTCACTCACTCACTCCCTCCATCTCTCTCTCTCTCTCTCTCTCTTCTCTCTTCTATCTCTCCCCCCCCCCCCTCCGCCCTCTCCCTGGAACAGGCTGAATGTGGAAGGCAAACTGACTGAGGACAGCATCAGTCCAGTACAGAGAAATGCCCATAAACTCACTGTCACTTTGTTATGCTGGGTGTCATTGATCGGAAATCCATTTGCCGAGTTTGCCAGTTGCCTTGTGACGCATGATGTTCCATTGCCAAGCAAAAGCTGTGTGTCATTCACCCTTGTGCCATATGTAAAGAATTGTGAGGAGTTTCGTCCGCAATCGGATATGTTTCCAACTGCAGTTACATCACCAGAATTAGACACGCACATCAAACGAGAGAGCTTGGAAGCTCAGGGCCCTACGCTATGCTATTTTGCCTTGATGATCTAGACAAAAAAAGCATAGGGATGTTATAAATTCTTATAAATTTCTACTTTTTGTTTTAGACATAACCTGGGATTCGAACCCGCACTATCGCCCTGCATCCATCCCCCGATACACTTCGCATACATACTAATTCTTCCAAGTTGCTTCACGTTATGATCTTGTATTTGAAAGTCGTATTTGAATATGCATTGTGGCCAGCCTTCTTTGATTGTACGGTACGGTACGGCACAGGTACGGGACAGGTACGGGACAGGTACGGGACAGATACGGTCGAGGGTAATACGACACCATCTACCGCCTTGATGACGGTAAAAAAAGAATAGGGATGTTATAAATTTTTCAATTTTCCTATTTTTCAGGCATTACCTGGGATTCGAACCCGCACTATCGCCCTACACGCATTCCCCCATACACTTCGCATTCATACTCATTCTTCCAAGTTGCTTCACGTTATGATCTTGCGTTTGAAAGCCCTATTTGAATAGTGCGGCCAGCTGTATGTGGCCATCTGTGTTTGATGGTACGGTACGGGACAGATACGGGATAGCGCCAGGCGTGACACAAACACACAAACACACAAACACCAAATTAAAGCTGTGTGGACCCTGGCTAGCGCCAGACGTTACTGAAGTAACATCTTCTGCATAGCTACGGGAATAATTCATAAAATTATACTTGAAATGCTCTCACTAGAACAGTGAGAGCATTTCAATGCTCCCCATTTTATTTCTGCTTTGAGAAATAAAGTTTCACCACCTCACCAAGGCCTGTACGCCCGTCCGTCCGTCCGTCCGTCCGTTCATTCGTCTGTCTGTCACCTACCCGTTACTTCTTTCCTACCGCCATCACACCCTTCTGCTATAGATGCGCTGGTGGTGCAGCAGGAAAGGACACGAGTATCAGCAGTTAATGCACCACCTCAGATTTACTGTAAGAACACCTGGCAGTCTCAGTCACAGGTGCTCCTTTCCAAGTGCGGGGATACAATCATGCATACACAATCTGCCCTGTTACGAGGATCACTTACCTGTGTGGTCGGCAACAAATTGCCATCTATTCGGGTCCTGGATGCCGAAAAATGGCGCCCCTCCGCCTGTACAGCTTTGCTGCCCTACCACGAAACCATTGTCCATGGTAATGGAATATGTTGCATCAATCTTCAGCTTCGTTGTGACGTAGAATATAAGCTGATAGTGGTTTAGATAAATCGGGTGCTGTTTCAGGATGGCGTCGTGTGGACTAAGGGAGAACACAGCGGGTCTTACCACTGTGCCATTCTTCACCTCGTTGATGCGAATGGCAGCCTTGCTACCTTGCAACGGCCTGAGGATCTGTGGAAGTAGCATAAATGTTCAAGGCAGACTTTTGCAACTCACGCTCAGCTAGTGTTGGACTATTCATGTCATTCTCTTTCAGACATGAACGTGAGTGCTCGAGTTAGGTACAGTAAAACCTGGTGTAGGCGACCTCTCGTATTAGCGACCGTTTTTCCATGCACGGACAGTTCTACACAGACACTGCGGGACCTGGTTCTAAAGACCACCTGGCTTTAACGACCGCTTTTCCTTGCACCGTGGGGTGGTCACTTAAACCAGGTTTTACTGTACATGAAAACCTATGCACAGTGCACAGTGCACACTTCCCACAGATGCCACCTCTTTTGCGAAACCACCAGTCAGAACAGACCCTACTGAGAGCATGCATCTGCGTACACTCGGACCAGTGTTTAATTAAAAGACCATCTGCACATACATGTACACCACCTGCCTTTCTAAAAGACGGCCTAAACGTTAGACCTACTGTCTACAGAGACTCGTTTTCCATGCACAATACCAGGAGACTGGTCTTGTTACAAATAATCTGGTAAGTCAGTACAGTAAAACTAGGGTTAAGCAACCATGCATGGTTCAAGCAAAAGGGCCTTATGACCCCTTATAAGGGGTCATAGGGGCCTTATGACCAGGGGTCTCTCAAACCAGACTTCATGCATGCAGGTGACTTGATGAAAAACTGTCACAAAGGCAGGCGGTCTCCTAAACCAGCTAACACTGTAGAAGGCCAGCAATGGGTTGCACGTAAGCGCTGTGCCAATAGCTATCTTACCTGCTGGTCAAAGTCAATAGAAAACGTTGCTCGGAAATACGGTGCTGTTTTCCCGCGTGACACACTGGGCTCCGCGGTGCCTGGGATGATCTCGGGGGCACTTGCTGGAAGATAACACGCCACAGATAGACATCATATGAACATTTGCACGCCTGACACAAGCGTTTTCTGGCAACACATCTCACTACATGTGGTAAAACGTGGAATACTTTTTAAATCCTCCTTGAACCAAAACTTCGTTCGTTATAATGGCGGACAATGTGGAACATGTAGCACGTCTTTGTTTCCAGAGAAAAGATTTTCATGAAAAATGATCACTAACACTGAGACATGAATGCGATTGACATTTCCTCACATAAAGCCACAGTAACAAATTAATTTGATGATTGTTCTCGACTAGGTATACAATGATAATGTGTGTGCCAGCGGTGTACACAACTTAAATGCACATTCGTTCACTTTCAACTTACCACCCGCCAGCAGTGTAACACATATTTGAGGAGTTGTTTGCCTGTAGGAGAATTGGTAGGAGAACTAAAGTGACTTCATGTTGTGTTATAGATGCGTCAGAAATTCTGAATTTCTGCGTCAGAAATTCTATTTTCAATGGAAGTGTGAGTCCATGAAATCTGCACCACTGTGCGAACCCAGGTTCTGAATTGCTCTGGTTTCAAGTAGTCATCAAACATATTATTAAATTTTGTTTTTGAAGATGGCACCCCGGAATCAACCACATTGACTTAGCATGCACTGAGATGAGTGTGTTGCACTTGTCCTGTGTGGCACACGCAAGCCACTTCTACAGTTGTAGCCAGTGTAGTTGGATCTCATGAATGCACTAGCACTGGCCCTTTGATCTCATGAATGAAGTAGCACTGCGCTCAAATGCACCAAACAGCATCTGTGGTGTTTCGGGTGTGGCGTAGTGCATTCAAAGTTTGTAAAGACATATTTTGCATGCAACTTGAAGCAGGAGTTTGTACTAGGGTTACAGCATTTTACTCGTGCCTGGCTACAATCTCTGGACCAAAAGAGTACTAGGCTATAATTATAGGATTTCAGAATGCAAAGCATTGGATCATCAGTCAGAGTCAAGCTGCTTCTGGATGAGTTTTGCTATCTGAATGGAAAACCTCTTGGTTAGTATTGTGTGTGGATGTGAATAGCTCTTGAACCCAAAGGTCAGAGTCTCGCAAGTAACTTCTTCCAAGAATTATTGCTAGCACTCAGGATAATTCTCGTCATTTGGCAATGTAAAATGAGCACTCCAGAGTTTGCCTTGACAAGGTGGTTTGGGAGAATACAGTCAGGAGCAGGATACAGCGGCCAAGTTGAAACTTCCTCTAGACCCAGCGCTTACCCCTGAGAATCTTCCGCTAGGCAACAGAGTACATGCTGTCCATACTGTTCACGGTTCGGTGTCCACTTCACCCAGATCTCACTGTAATAGGCTCCGTTCTCACTGAACTGCCTGATAAGGCCCTTTACCATGCCAATCGGTGATGTCAAAGTGAAGTCTCTGATTCTGTAAGGCAAGATATAAAAACCAGCAGGCGGTGTCTCAGAAAGCTCAAATTTTATTACTCCGTATAATGTTGGCAAGTGGCCCGGAGCAAGTATATCTATGCACAAAGTGCAATGACTGGTGAATTTGGACATAATAATTATAGAGCAATGACCACATATAGAGGATTGCTGGACTACTGAATCCTACATGTATCCATTCACATTTCAGTGTGGCGTTTTCCTTCCCAGCAGGGTGATACATCTGCCGGTAGTGACTGGACTAATCCCTCCAGTCCTGGACCCACTCCTGGTACAGAACAATTTCACACCTGCGTACAACATAAGGGGCCTACCCACCACTGTACTATATTCAATGGGCAGAGTGAGGCCGAGAAAGAAAGTCGTTATTTTAGCGATTCAATTTTTAGCGTTTTCTGAATCTGGAAAAATTCGCCGTGAAATAATATTATGTTAGCAATCCGAGTTTCAGAGTTTAGAAAAGATGACTACAGCACTGTACTGTATATACAAAGTTTCGATTGGCGCGGCAAAACTTTAGCGAAAACACTCCTTTTGCTAAAATCGTTAAAATACCACCCGTGCCAAAATTAGCGGTTTTACAGTAAAATTAATTATAATTGAAATTGAAAATACTGGTGAATGTAAAAGGCATGTGAATGTGGTGGGCACTTCAGTACTAACAGTATTATGGATACACAGACTCGGAAAAGCATGACTTACCTGTTGAACTGCGAAGTTTGCCTGACTCTGAGCGTGGCATTATACTGGGTACCCGGCTTGATAGGAATACATCTCTTGTCGACGGGACTGGGAGGTGAAAATTCTGGGCGAGTGGTGCATGTCACGTTTGACTTGTAAACATCTAATAAGAACTGGAGAGGAACCTGACTAAGAGCGGGGCCATTCGGATCCGACTGCACAAAGTCTTCCAGGATAATTGCCACAGCATGGTAATGGCTGGTTCCTGTTTCTAGCGTTGGTGGAATCATAATAGTGCAGGGATTCTGCAACCAATGAAGAGAGAAGTTATCAGCATCATTATCACTCATAACGAATATGTCACCATACTCACGCTCTTTCCGTAATTTGCACTGTTTTGTTTCCGTGCTTGGTCTTTGTTTTCACTTCATTGCTCTCTGGACGATTTTCACGTCAGTTCAAATTAGCATTATTCTCTATCTAAATGTTACACGTTCTTGTCATATATTGGCTTGTCCTTTCTTGTGTGGGCGGAGGGGGACTCTATTGTGATGCTGGCAGGTGGGTATTCATTGTGGTTAGATCTACTAGACGTAGGAAGTTAGGCAGAGCACTCACATGTACACAATTATTCGGAATGGTTATGTACAGATGCAGGTACAGCACAGCTGCTTCTTACATGCTGGTATAGGGAGAATTCTGAGCGAGAGAAGAGGCTACCGTATTGATCATACCTACACTGTGCTTGCTTGGTCTTAGAAGTGCTTTCAATTATAACACTATAAACAACAGCCACAACAACAACGGCGACGACAATGATGACGGCGACAATGACAACAACAACAATAACAACAGCCGGCGATGGGGCCATCGTGAGAATAAAGAATTCAACAGCAGCAGCAGCAGCAGCAGCAGCAACTGTATCCACAACACCAGCACCAGAGGGGAGCAATACCAACAAATGCAGAAGCAGCAGTGGCAGCAGCAACAGCAGCAACAGCACATCAACAACATATTCAGTGGCCCAGCATTCCCGTCAGCCTACATGCTTACCGATATCAGAGTGGCATTGAAAAGCGGAGGAAATACTCCGCCGCACTCTGAGTAGTCTTTACACCATCTGCACCTCACAATGTCATTGTCTGGATCGTCCGTGTGGATCGACAGGTTTTGGCCACAACCATACTGCATTCGGACGATGGGGATCTGTGCTGAACGAGGACTATGGTTGATCATGCCCGTGTCCGTGCGTTGAGTTAGATTCATGCTGAAGGGCCATACCCAGCCCGTGTCTCTGTACCGGACCAGTGTACTGATCCAGCAGCAGCTCTCATAACTAAACAGTCAAACAGGCAAACATTCAAACAGGCGAACATTCAAGCAGGCAAACAGTCAAAGAGACAAACAGTCAGACAGCCAATGTTCCAGAAAGAAATAACCGTAGGCACCCGCATGTGCAGTTATCATGTCAAATTTAAGGGTTGACGGAGTTCACAAACGTGAATGGAATGTGCACTGCGCGAAGTCTTTAGAAGCGTTGTAAGGCACTTGCTGCTACTCACAGCCAAAGGTTGATGAAGTGCATGTAATGAGGCAAATGATGTCCTGAAAATGAGGTAGAAAGGTGTGACGGACTCGACTGGCACAAGTATTGTGTACTCCACCACATCACACTACCTCCATCAGTAGAGCTCAGTATAGAATGTATACAATGCAATAACGAGAGAGCTTGGAAGCTCAGGGCCCTACGCTATGCTTTTTTGCCTAGCGAGAGTCAACTTTCTCTTTGCATTCGAGGGTAATACGATATCGTCTACCACCTTGATGACCTAGGCAAAAAAAGCATAGGGATGCTATAATTTTTTCATTTCTCCTATTTTTTTTCAAAGACATAACCTAGGATTCGAACCCGCACTATCGTCCTGCATGCATTCCCCCCATACACTTCGCATACATGCTCATTCTTCCAAATTCCTTCAAGTTATGATTTTGCATTTGAAAGCCCTATTTGAATATTGTGGCCAGCTGTCTTTGATGGTACGGTACGGGACAGGTGCGGGATAGCGCCAGGCATGCCGATGCTGTCCTTGATGGTACGGTACGGGATAACGCCAGGCATGCCCATGCCGTCCTTGATGGTACGGTACGGGACAGGTACGGGATAGCGCCAGGCATGCCGATGGCACAAGGTTCCGGATTCGTCTGATAATCCGTGTACAGTGCGCATTGCATCATCAAAATGACGTCAACTTGAAATTCTGTCGGGACAGCACCCATAGTCGAGTTGCACACTCTTGGGGGGTTATGTACTCTTGGTCGCATTGAAGGATGATGGTACCTGTCGTGTGCTCTGGGTGGTAGTCGTGGGTCAGATCAATGTCATTTCCAGTCGGCAGCAACACGCAAACTCCCACACTCTTCCACCAGAAGTTCTGCACTCTAATCGTGCTACGAGAAATCTATTATCACCTACATTTAGCTTTGTGTCCCAGATAATTGGTGTCAAAATGAATTATACAGCACAAACCATACCTTACCACAATAGAACCTCGGAGAAAGAGGTAGACCTACACAGCTGCACCAAGCCTTGCTTGTGTATTCATGCAGCCGGAAACGCTTTCGAGTAGTCTACCGACCGTAGATCTACGTGTCGCACCATTTGCCTCGTCCTCGCCACTGCACTATCCGAACTGAACAGTCCGAAGGCCACAGGTATCGTTTCGTTGGTACTACATTCTACATTCTACAGGTAATCAAATGCAATCTCCCAAGACGTTGGAGCGAATGTGGATAGCTAGTGATTGCAGAGGAGTCTTTTCCAATTCCCAGCCCAGTTACACAGCAAGGAAACATAAGCCGATGTCCAAAGCTAGAGCGCTACCTAATACCTGGAGAGTGGAGTGTTGAAGCTGGCGGCCTGATTATGTCGGTACGTGTACTTTGAACTTTCGACCAGTTTTATCGTAGACCCGGGTGCTCGAATGAGACACAGCTACAGGGTACCAAAACAGAAACACCCTGAAATTGTACCTAAACTTGGTCCGATTTCGTTTTTTCACAAATACCATCAACATACGGCCCGCTAACGGTATGCCAAGTTTCAGCGCTGCCCGGTAAACGGTTTTTGAAATACTCGCGACCCACTTTTTGCTGGGTCCTTGATTCGAGGATATGGGTCTCCTGTACGGTGCTGCCAAAGACCTGCTGAATCTGCGGCTCCACTGACCATCTTGCTCTCAAAAATGAAGTAGTAAGTTACTACTCCCTGCCCTCAACTGCCACACCAAGCGTAGACGATGGTAGACCCGTGTGCTTGAATCGGAGACGATCTGACGAGTTCACTGTTTCTGATTCGAGCACCCAATTTTCAAATAAAAAATCCGAAGGAAATACGACAATTTTACTGCGTACTGTAGCTTGTGTTGTAGCGCACCCAGGTTCTGAATTCCTGCTGGGTGGGTCAAGCCAGACTCTCTTCCCTGTTCCATCGCCTCTCCAAAAGTATATTCTGACATTATTGAGATTTACAGATGAGAAATTTCACACCTGTCAAATCGTTTCTGATTCGAGCACCCGGGTCTACACGGCAGATCTTGATCATACTTCTTCTTTGACTTTGAAGTAGTGACCAGGTGACTAAGGGCGCGTTCGAATTGTCACTCTTTGACTTTTCGAGGAGCTTCATTTTTCTGAAGAGGTGGCCTTATTGGCCTCTTCAGAAAAACGAAGCTCCTCGAAACTCATCCGATGGGAAGGTGGATTAGTTTCGAAGAGTTTGGAATAGCTACGTCACGTAGTACGTGGAGATGGTCGATCTGATCGGACGTCATCATCGCCATGTTAATTCCACTCAAAACTCTAAAAATGATAGAAACCGTTCTAATGGGACACTTTAACTAATCTCTTTATAAAATTTGTTCGAACAGTTGATGAAGACAATTCGAACGCGCCCTAAAACTCGCGGAGCATTTCATGGCGTCTGCCAATGCCACCCAAGCACAATCATGCATGGTGCATTGGCGGTGGTCCAGTTCCGCTGGTGGACTGAAACTCCTTTTTGGGTTTAGATCACCAGTGATACCAAGGCAAGAAGAGTAGCCATCTACTGGTACATAAGCTAAAGAAGCGTAGTAAAGCCCAGCGTAGATCTATGTAGATTTATGTACTCTTGCCAAGTCTTGGTGGTACCTGCACACCCGTGATCATGGTGATTGCAGTGCACAACCTTTAAAAACAGGTTAGCGGTGCTTTACACAATAGTTCTGCACAACCTATCGATTGCTCCCCTTACTACTAGTACCTAAAACTGATTACTGTAGAGTCTGCGCACTAACAGTACAGTCATGATGCACACATACAGACTCAGTACTCGTATGTGTAAAGGTGCAAGTACAGTCATGTACCACTTTAGCCAGGAGTTCAGCGCATCCATCCTTATTGCAAAGTGTTGTTCTTCTGCCAATCTGGTCATCCAGCCCCTCCTAGTTCACACGTATAATGCCATAATCACATTGCCCACTGACCGTCGGGCACCAGAAAACAAGGATATTACTGTTACTATTAGTAAGCGATAGAGCACCAGTATCCTCTGTTATTCATTGTTATACGCAGTCCTTAATCGGTAATAACTCTTCCTCATGGCGTTTTGGCTAGGCTTTCCCCAAATTGGCCAGCTGAAAATTTCGCCTAAAATGAGACTTACAAAGTTATTGAAAACCATGGCGTGGAATGTCTCAGTACTCCTTGTCAGTTTTGTGGTAGATTGTGCATGTCTGACCGTTCAAAATCTGGTTTAGTTGGTGGACTCGATCGCATAACTTGTGCTCACAATTTCCATGTTAGAATTTTTTCCTTGGCTCACCATCTGAGTTCTTATGGAAAAATTGCTAAGCTTTTCACTGGTTTTGGAGGGTTCCACTGAGAATCGCCAAAAATCTACCAAATGTTATTGCAAAGTGCGTTTACGAACGAATGATGTTTCTACAAGCATGACCGCTCGAGCTCTCTACTTCAGTACTTGTAGTACTAGTGCGTTGAGGTCGTGTGAGTCGTGTCCTTTGACCTCCTCTCAAACAAAGATTAGCAATTAGGAAGATCGCTACCAGTAAAATACTACACTATAACGTACAGTTGTGGCCAGTAAATCTGGCCACTACAATTTGTAGTCGATCACGCCAATTTGGAAACCAATATGTCAACAATTTTGCAGCCGATTTTCCAATATATTCCAATTTTGCAGCCGATTTTCGAACAATCAGCTGATTTTACAGATCTGATGTACTTTTGAGCCGAGCAAAAGGCCGAATAGGTGAAACGGGCCGATTTGGGGAAAGCCTAGTTCTGGCACAAGGCAACTCGTTTGTGGAGTTATTTGGTGGTGACCTTACCTGGCTCTGAATCGGGCAGGGGCACCAGAAAACGTGTAGTCAAATATCCGTCCACCTTGAGACCAATCCTCTTCTTCTTTGGGGCTATACTCGGTGCTGTAGTACTGCAAGTCCTTGAAGGTGCCACTGCACCCTTCCGTACAGCTTAAGTATGTACTTGCTCCATTCGGACCTTGCAATGGTATGCTTGGGTCTATATCGGTTGGATCGCAGTACAAACCTCGCCATTGGCAGTATGCCGATAATCTCCATGCAATTCGAAAGTCACACTGCAGCTGCAGAGAAGACAAACAACGATGAGCATATACACGTTGTTCATAATGTAAGCGCAATTCTCAGGCCACTAATGAATGTACAAACGTCCATGATAGGACATCATTAACTATTTTCACTTTCACACAGTAGGTCCTCTCTGAGCACAATGCTGGAAAGGGCAGAGTTTCCTTACATGTAAGGGAAACAAGAGAATGAGAGGCGGAGACAGAGAGACAAAGACAGAGAGAGACAGAGAGAGAGAGAGAGAGAGAGAGAGAGAGAGAGAGAGAGAGAGAGAGAGAGAGAGAGAGAGAGAGAGAGAGAGAGAGAGAGAGAGAGACAGAGACAGAGACAGAGACAGAGACAGAGACAGAGACAGAGACAGAGACAGAGACAGAGACAGAGACAGAGACAGAGACAGAGACAGAGACAGAGACAGAGACAGAGACAGAGACAGAGACAGAGACAGAGACAGAGACAGAGACAGAGACAGAGACAGAGACAGAGACAGAGACAGAGACAGAGACAGAGACAGAGACAGAGACAGAGACAGAGACAGAGACAGAGACAGAGACAGAGACAGAAGAGAGATAGAGAAGGACAGAGAGGGACAGAGAGGGACAGAGAGGGACAGAGAGGGACAGAGAGGGACAGAGAGAGAGAGAGAGAGAGAGAGAGAGAGAGAGAGAGAGAGAGAGAGAGAGAGAGAGAGAGAGAGAGAGAGAGAGAGAGAGAGAGAGAGAGAGAGAGAGAGAGAGAGAGAGAGAGAGAGAGAGAGAGAGAGAGAGAGAGAGAGAGAGCGTCATCGAGCCGAGCACAAGCTACATTCCAAGGCTTCATGGGATGGTGGCCTGGGATAGCGCTATCAAGCAGTGCTCAAGCCGACTTTCATGCCGTGGAATGTCTCAGTACTCCCTGTCAGTTTTGTGCTAGATTGTGCACGTCTGACTGTTCAAAATCTGGTTTGGTTGGTGGACTCGATCGCGTAACTTGTGCCCACAATTTCCCATATTATTAAATTTAACTTTGAGGCAAACCTACCACCACATTGCCGTCGTCATCGAATCCGCCATTGCTGCTAGGATTTGGTCCACAAGAAATAATGCCGCCTCGGAAGTGGGTTGCTTCGGAGGTGATCGCGAAACAAAGCACAGCGAGGCATAAACAGCCAGGCGGATTCCCACAACTATGCATGCTGCTCAATGGTGAGGGTGTCTGGAATAAGTAGAAACCGCAAAAATGGATCACACTCAATGTTTGCGCAGCAAGGCATCCAACCGACTCTGCAGTTCTCCGTCAGCTCTCTGATCTCTCCTTGCCTCTGCCAAGACTGCAATGCTCTGCTGCTATTTGCAAAGAGGTTGGGATCGCCAAGAAACGTCGCCTATCGTCAGCGAGGTGATCACATTACGTGTCTAGTCTTTGCCGGATGACAAAGTAAGTACTTCCATCGGTAGTGTTAGAGTAAATGCGTAAATGTCGGTGTGAGGTTGGTAGGGTGGTGACGGCGCTAGTCACCCATAGTATGAGCAATGAGGAAAGGTGAGTGGCTGGTAAGTGGTATTATGTGCATCTACTAAAATTAATGCTGAAGTAAAGATTTAGGCATCATGTACATGTACATGTCCCTATAGAGTATAGTATGGGGCAATCCCTGACACCGCGTACCGATGGGTTATTCCATCCTTCATAGTAATACACTAGCCAGCTAGGGCAAAGACTAGTTAGACACTTGCTTACCTGATCAGGTGATTGCGAAGCAAAAACAAGCGACGGCACACGTAATCATGGTTAGCGATAACTGGAGGAAAATAGGGGGTAATACCGAGTACCGCGCAGAGCTGTCAGCCACGCAAGGGACGCGTGTCAATATCATGCAGTATGGGCTGATGTCAGTGATGATGTGTAGAGAGGGTTGTGTTTCGCTTGACATGTACCTTCTTCAAGTTCTTGTTCATTCGCGCAGCAACTCGCTGTTTGTATTGTACTTTGCAGCAGCAGCAGTCTATATCTATATCTATACTAGTGCAAACGTTGACAACAGCCAGACGAGCTGTCCACCGAGGGTCAAAGGGACTGCAAGTTTTCTGGTGCTTGCGTAGACGGAGCGGCAGTGACCTGTCAGAACCTCCACTCTAGTCTAAGCTCCAATGTTCACCGAGAATGCTGTCAACGATCGGTTTTGTACCCATGTGCACACAACTACATGTCAATGACCTACCGCGGAGCTGCTACACCGATCTATAACTCCCAACCTTACCCGCCGCAGACGGAAAAAGCATGTATGTATTCAGCAAGCGGAAAGGCAGGGTTAGGGTGACCACTTGCCTGTTTCTCCCGTAGTCGGCATTCCTATGGCATGATGGCATATCGACAGGTGTGGTGAAACGCCATTCCAACTGTCCGATTGCGTACGAGTTGGAAAACATGTATTTTGTACAGTCATGCAATTTTAACAAAACGCTGTAGACAGCAACTTGTTTCGGCCATAGAAGGCCTTATCAATAAAGACAACTCGTTGCTCCAGCGCAAGAGTGCTCAACCTACGAAAGGTAGCGAGCGATGCGTAATGCAGCAGCCTACCGAGAATGCTCAACAAGCCGAAGTGAAAAACGAAGGACCAAATGTTAACAAGTTATCCGTTGTTTGTGTCCAAAACTAACACATTTAAGCAAAGATACCGGTGAGTCAGAACGTGCAACAATTAGCACAACACTGTCTGATGTGATACTGACATTCAACTACCTGATGCTTCGCTGCATCACGTCTAGAATGCGCAAACCAACAGCCTTCCAAATTGGAAGGTTCTAAGCAGGTAATTAGTTATGAAATAACGGAAGAAAGGGGAAGGTGAGCGCATTCAAGACAAGGCATGCATTCTAGACGTCATGCCGCTAAGCATCAGGTCGTTGAATGTCAGTATCACATCAGTCAGTTTTGTGCTAATTGTTGCACGTTCTGACAACGGATAACTTGTAAACATTTGGTCTTTCTTTTGTCACTTTAAAAAACACTTGGCTCTCAATCTGAGTCTTATACCGGTACAAGTAGTTATATCTGCACACCTGATGAGCCGTCAGCATCTGCAGACTTTACACGGCGAAACGAAGATCTACATCGTGTGACACTACTTGTTACTGCCGTTTGTTAGTCCACCACAAGTAACTTAGTTCCATTCTACATGTACCGGTACTGCTGGGTAGTATAGTACGAAGAGATAGTGCCGTCCGGTCTGTCTCACTTCGTGTTCGCGTAACTTCCCCTCTTTTGCTATCTCCGATAACATGAGCCTGCCAAGTATTAGTTCAATATTGGGTGGTCGTTGTTTCGCGTTCTCGAAGCGAGCCGGGGCCGTCCTGTACCGTGGGCTTCGTCCTTCGTCATCACTTTGTCATAGCTAAAAAGTAATATTCTTAGTTCGCTGTGATGTTTGCTTGTTCTCGTCTTGAATGCCGACTCCCTGCACTCAGACTCAGAGGTTGTAGGCGGTACTGTTCATGACCAAGAATGGCGAGATGACCGTCGTCTGCTCCGGTGTCTGCGTACAGGAGCCGACTAAGTCACAACTGATCCTGTGTTCACGCCACCGAGTGTGAGGCATGGTCAGTCGCAGACGTCAGTTTTGGTGGACATCCACTCCATCCAGCTAAGGAGATGAAGCTGCTCGGTGCTCCTTGACCGCATCCAGCATAGAGCCATCCGCATCATCGGACCAGCCAGGTGCCCTGTTGCAAAGCTTGGTTGACCGGAGAACGGTGTATGCGCGTGGGCGTGCGTACCTTTACAAGATACAGTGTCTGGACGGTGCTCCACAAGTGCTCGCCATGGTTCCCCAAGGAAAAGCTGCTACACCCCCCTCCCCCCGAACCAGAGTCCAACAGCACCGGCGTCACAACCACCATCTGGGTTACGACCTGGGTTTGGGCAACTGATCACCTCTGAATCTCTGATCACACAATTTCTTTCCCTGTCTTATCAATTATCATCATAATTATCTCTGTTGTATCTTGCTTCTCTTATCTAATCTTCTTTCTCCGTCTACCTGGTCTACATTATAATTCTGTAGTCTATTGTAGTTTGTAGACCATAGACCAAAATTATTATGCATCGTCTGATGCGAAAGGATCCGCCTGTTTTCTTTTTCCATGCGCCCCCATTTTCTGGTGCTCTGGAGTCTGGTGGCATGCCGGCATGCTGATGATTTTAGACCAATGGCAATGCAGCAGTAGGGTGCCTCCAGACTCACCAACATGGCTACCCTGTAGCACCCACCTCCCTACTGAAAGTCTACAAGTACAACACCGGTAACCTCGTAGATCTACGTGCACGGGTACCGCGTACCGGGTCCGTATGACATTGTACCAGGTGCAGGGAGCACCATCTCCATGGTCACGTCGATTGGGAGCATAGCTCATTCATTAGTTCCATTTGCATACTGACTGTCTACCATGGTCTACATGACTCGATCATTTTCATGACATGACTCATGAGTGCTGGGCCAGGGAGCGAAGCTTCGAAGGAAAGGAAATCCCATACTTTTCATTGCTTTTTGACGTGATCTTGCACTGGCGTAACGACTCACTGTGTGGTGTGTTTTTATTCATTTCGCTTCTCTTCCTTGCATGTTTGCGTAATATTACTTGCTGTGCCTTCTGGAAAATCAGGGCAGGGAGAACTTCAGCAGTTCGGGGCACTCTATCGAGACAGTTCCATGCTGAGGGCGAGCATCTCCTATTTTTTCACAAAAGTGTAGATCTACGTGTAGAATTTGGAAACGAAGGCACTCCACGGTCATAAAAGGCTGGCCGGTGAAACGCGTGAGGGTAGTGTAGGCAGCTGGACTGCATGGATTACTCGGCCGGCCGTATCCGGTCAAATCGCTAAGGACTTGCCTCATGCCGGTAACTCTGAACCTGCCTGAACTTTGAGCGTGCTGAAGAGGGAGCCGAGTTTGGACGGCAATCGCTTGTGTTGAGTTTCTCCTTGCCTTTCTCGAACCCTCAGCTGAGCTGCCTGCTGTATCTACAGTTTCTGAAGGGTTCAACAGTGGCTCATCATTGTACGTGTACGTGATTATCAAGTGAAGCGCATGCACAGTACACAGACTCAGTGAATAGAGGCTGACCGGAACGTGTTGTCGAATACTTGTGCGGTTCCACTGTCCAGTGAGCGGTCTTGCCATCCACGATTGGCACAAAACTGGCCGTTAGCTATCATTCGGCCACCATGATGAGAGCAACGGGAATGTGAGTTGAGCTAAAAAGGATCTTCCCCAACATTTTTTTTACCTATGATAGTATGAACTTTATAGGACTGTGCCCAACACTAATTTTTTCTTCCATTCCTCTTGATAGCCGTACATTGCACTGTTGAGCAACAAACTATCAAAGCATGTAAATCTAAAGTAATTCCAAACCTATGAAGCTTGGGTACAGCATCATTCCAGCAGGGAAGCACACCATGTCTATATTTGAATTTCTGATATGTCACTCTATCAGATCTTGGCATCTTGACTGGAAACACTGCACAATGGGCACCAGCGTTCCATCGCTGTTCATGAGTGAATATATGATCTGCCGTTGATGCAGAACTGAGTTGTAGCCAAGCTTCACTGTATGCTACTGGTGAGGAGTGGGGGAAGGGGAGTTTTTGCACTTCCTCTTATTGTCTGCATGTTGTATAGTAGTGTAGTATCTATTCATACTTCTCTAGGGCAGTCCCCACAGACCTATGGTCTCCTTACGGTACACCCAAGCCAATCTAGGATTGCGATACGAAATTGACTTGGTGAAGCAGCAAGGCGAACCGATGCCGCATGTGGGCACGGTGTAACAGCGGCAGTGCCGTGGACAGACCTCAGTTGGCGTTGGGGAGGTCACGTTCTGGAGAAGGGTAGACCTCTATGTTTGCAAAAGCCAGTAGCAGTTTGATGCGTTTCCAGGTTGCCACATGTTAAAGGGGAAGTTAAGGCAAAAATCAAAATTTCACCAGTTGTAGTCTTCGGGGTGCTGAGTCGAATGGTCGTGGTCCGAGGAAGCTGAGACGCTCCCTTCCTACTTGAATCCCAATCGAACTCGCGCACTTCCACCGAAACTGGGTGACTGCGCCCTACGAGATGGGGATTTGTATGCAAAATGTCACTAAAAGCGCCATTTCGTTCTTATAAAAGCACGGATGACCGCGATTGGCCCATAATAGCATATGTTGTAGTCTTTTGGACGCTGAGTCGATTGGTTTTGGTCCGAAAAGGCTGTGTTGCAGCGTTCCTCCTTTATTCCCAATCGAACATGGTTGAACAAGCGGTCACGTGCTCCTGCGTACACCAGTCACCTGGTCACCGTGCCTGCAGGGTACAACTTACAAGCCTGTTTGACCTTTTTTGGGTGCACTCCTGTCACTCGAGTGAATTCGAGTTGAACCTTGGTGTGAAAGTTGTCGCCTGCTGGCGTGGTGACCAGGTGATTTGGGCACCCAGGAGCACGTGACCGCTTGTTCAACCATGTTCGATTGGGAATAAAGGAGGAACGCTGCATCGCAGCCTTTTCGGACCAAAACCAATCGACTCAGCGTCCAAATGACTACAACATATGGGCCAATCGCGGTCATCCGTGCTTTTATAAGAACGAAATGGCGCTTTTAGTGACATTTTGCATACAAATCCCCATCTGGTAGGGCGCAGTCACCCAGTTTCGGTGGAAGTGCGCGAGTTCGATTGGGATTCAAGTAGGAAGGGAGCGTCTCAGCTTCCTCGGACCAAGACTATTCGACTCAGCACCCCGAAGACTACAACTGGTGAAATTTTGATTTTTGCCTTAACCTTTTGAGCACGCATGACGTTCTGACACGTCATGACCACTGCCACTGTGACACGCGTGACGTTCTAGAACGTCACGAATCAGTGCGGAACTACATCGATCCCGCGTTTCTTCCGTGGCGTGGCGTCGAGCTGTACCGCTGCACAGAGGACTCCTAGGATGTACGCGTACCGTAAAAAAATGCGATTCGATCCGTAAGTTTGAACTGGAGTTACATGCGCGTGCATACATTTCAAAATACCAATTTCGCGTAAAACTACCTTTCTGAAAACGGTCATAACTTTTGTAATCTTTGTTTCATTTCCAAAACAAAAACAGTTCTGTGCTCAGGATATATGAAAGAATCGTTTGAAATCAAGTTTGCTCACATAGAGTGAATCTAAATTTTTTACTGTGTGGCAGAGGTTTTTAGTGGACCCGGGCTCAAAAGGTTAACTTCCCCTTTAACATATCGTTGTCGGAAACGAAATTCTGGGACGCTTGTGGGTCTGTCTCCCGGATCTTCCATTATGAATCGGGGACAAAATGACTCGTGTTCAAGGGCCTCAGATTTTAAAGTGAAACCCAGAATGTATCCGTAGGGAGGCTTCCATGGATGGACGGTACTCTTCACAAAGCTATTGTGTTGTTATCCTCTTTATGAAACCTTTCTTGAAATTGTCTTCTCTCCTTCTTTTCTTTTTTTCTTCGTGGGCTGGTGCACCATGGCAGTCGATGACCGGCTTACTACTTCAAAGTACAGAAGTGCATAGCACCGGACAATGGCAAGTGCAAAGACTATCTGCGAGTGCCTGGTAATCGTGCTGCTCGCCGGAGTTCACCTTGCAGGCGCGACACACTTTCGCGGCGGTCTCATATCCTGCCATCCTGTGCTGGACAACACTGACGGTGGCGTGGACAGCTCTGGCAGTGTACACGTGAGCAGCTTAACCTCAATACACTACTAGCAGTACTATGCACAGCTTCTACACAGGTGTTCAATGTGCTGGGTCACGGTGATTGTGCCTGGCCGGGGGTCTTACAGATTTTCAAATGTGTGGTACTCGGTAACTTGGTAACCTGTAAGTGGACTGGCTCTCCTTTTGTGAGCATTGAGCACTGTCTTGGGGCGGAGGACTTCCATCAGGCCTATATTGAGTGTATGCAATGTCGGCATACTAGTAGTACCTGAACCCGATGTACATAGCTGAGTTGTGTTGGTGAATACTCCGTACTCTCAAAGGCCATTGATTGCCTCTCTACATAACTATAGTCATGAGATAAACCCCTGCATACTCTCCTCTTATTCCACTACAGCTTGAATGCCAGTTTCGCATAGGGTGGCGTTTGGATTACTCTACGGGAACAGTGTGCAACTCGACGTTACGGGCAAATCAGGAGCTGTTGAATGGACCGGGATCTAAGTTCAGGCTAAGGTGCTATTCCGGCTGTACAAGGCGTCCCACTGTTGACTATCTGAAGTTTTACTGCACGGAGTTCAGTGACTCGGAGCTGTGGACGCAGGGAGCCAATACATTCCGGTACACTCTCTCCGGCTCTAACCAGATTTTCACTGCTGCGTAAGTTTCCGGCTTTGCACGTGTAGATCTGATCTAGAAATGTGTTAGGCGGATCTTGAAGCAAGCAAGCAATTCAACACGTGAGCTCCTGGGCAGATTTTTCCTTTGCAAAACTGATATCATTGCATGCAATGGGCATGACCTATAATCGAGTGCAACTTGTAATCAGGAACAAACACTAGCAGTTGGGAAGGCAGTGCGCTTAGTCAAGTTTCAGAAATATGGTTTACACTGTACGTGTGTGTGTGTGCTTTTGTGTTTGTGTGTGTGTGTGTGCTTGTGTGTTTGTGTGTGCGCGTGCGCGTGCGCACGCGCGTTTATGTGTGCGTGTGTACGCGCATGTGCACGTGTGCATTAACACTGATATTGCAGAATGAGAACGTGTTGCTGGATAGATCTTGTGATTGGCAAGGACAAGGACTTCAAATGGGGCATCACCATGAACATCACAAAGCGGACCGACACTGGACGTGTCAACAGCAGCCCAACATCTGCGCAGCTACCGCTGGTTCGTTTGCAGTACGGATGCCCGCACAATATCTCAGTGCACACGGAGGATCCGGATGGTGATCTGGTGCGCTGCCGCTGGGCACAATCTTCGGCTGCAAACGGAGTGGATGAATGCGGAGATGTCTGCAATGCCGTGCCTAGTGCAAGTCTGTTGAATGTGAGTTCTGTAGATGGCAACCTGCGTACTTCATGCGAAGTCTTACTTGTTTGAAGTCGTGAATTATATGTAAAGGGAGTTGGACTTGTACACCATAGCTCTGTGTTTTTTTTTTTAGTATTGCTGGCCTTTAGCGGATGTGCCTGGTTGAGTCCTGGTGGTTACAGTCAATGTTTTCCTCAGACTTTTTCTCTTTCCAATCCCTTGAAACTGATGAATAAAAAGACTAAGGCCAAAGGATATGCTTGGCGGCAATTTGACGAACGAGCACTTGGAGCATGCGCATGGCTAGTGGTGTGCTGAGGATCGATCTTTGTTGTAGATGGGATTGTGGGGTGGGCAGGCACACCATAGTAAGTCATACTGAGTGATTGCTTGTATAGATACTGCTCAGGATTCTTGCCACTTCTCATTAGCTAGAGCAGGATTTTTCGGCTAGGCTCCGTAAAAAGCGGACAACTGCAGTTGTATTCCCAGTGAGGTCAGAACTGTCACATGTACTGCTATTGGAGATGTTACTTAGTTCTTGCGGGATTGGTCACTTGCCATTCTTGTTGCACATCACACAATCACAGAATTCAAAGACTGGAAATGTCGGTGATAGCTCTCCGAGTACCGTAGAAAGACACAAAGGTGATAGAACGGTCGAAAGAAAAACAGAAGATTGCATCCATATATAGCCCAGTAACCCTCTACACTGTCCATTACGTCTTTCAGGACTGTATCAGAGACGTGGCATTTTGAATTCTTAGCCAGCACTCAACATAGGCTGCATGCTGCTATTGGAGACACAATTCAGTGGTATTGGAGATAAGCTACCTTGCTGGAGTGAGTACTAAACACGGTAGTCGCTTTTTAAACCTGGTTAAGTGTCTTCATTGGAATTTGGAACACAGTGGAACACAGTGTGACTTGCAGAGTGCACGTCACACTATCTCAATGCAGATGGGGAAAAATAAGATCAGTGCATCAGCTCAATAGTAGCTGAGCATTCGAGTGTTCTTTGCGTGAGACATACCACCAGTTTTGTGCATATTCATCTATAAACACCACCCGGTAACAATTTTCTTTGGTCGCTTCCCATTATCTTTTTGCTCAGAATCCATGCGTTCTACAATTGCCTGGAAATCTGTCAGTGGGATATCATGTCGTGGCACTAACACTGGAAGACTTTCCTCCAGCAAACCCCAATGCACAGGCCTTCAGCCAAGTTCCATTGCAGTTTTTGATAGACATCTTCAACTCCAGCGTGCCGTGCAACGTCCACCCGACTTTCGTCTCACCAACGCCGGAGCACAACACGTGCTTTGCCATAAAGAAGAACGAGAGTTACAACGCGTTGCTGAGAGTGCAACATGCAAGCATGCATACCAAGTGAGTTTTTATTTCTATTTTTTACAATGATCACAGTTCACAGGCAAAGACAACAAAATGCGGATGGGAGCATAGTGATGGCGAGGCGTTTTGCCCTCGGCCTACCTGAGGTCTAGTCGTCATGGGAACATATACCGCACCAAAAAAAGAAGAAGATAAAAGAGAAGTGGAAGGTATACGTATGTACATGAGATGAAATGTTATGAAGAGTACATTGAGTGGAATTTGAAAGTCATGGGGTGAGGCAGTTGTGATGCTGATGCTCAGAGATGGTCATGTGACTACGGCCAGTCGTTGGCCTTCAAATAGCGGTTGACTGCGACCTTGAAGTGTTTGCAAGTTCTTGGTGCAGAATGAACCAGAGGAGACTCCGGCGGGCAGCTGGTTCCAGACGGTGACAACTGCTTGAGGGTAGGCTCGACACGGGTTGTTTCAGGAGCGGACTGGAAGTTCATTTGCCAGTTGGTGAAAGTGCTGGTGTGTTAGCGGAGATGCAACAGCATTCTCTTACCAATGACTTCTTGCTCACACGTCCTACGAATGATTCTGGCATGATCAAATGAGCCTTGATCAAAATTACCATCCCTGCTCGTGTCGCGGCTTTGAAGCAACACTTTAGGAGAGGTTAACAGTACTGAACGGTGCTTTCAACCATCAGTTTGCATTGCGGGAATAGGAACAAGTAAAAAATCGACTGATAAAAATCAGCTGCGCATCTGGACATGAGGCTTGGTTGGAGAAAACAAATCCTGCAAATGTCGACCCGGTAAGTTGCACAAGCTGGTATGCAGTGAGCATGCATCTCAGTGCTTTAGCATTCGGTAACTGCTAAAAACTACTGAGATTGGTTTTCTCTGCGTATGTGCGCACGTTCACTCTTGCTCATGTGTGCTTGCGCATGAGCGTGTGTATGTGTGTGTGTGCTTGCGTTGTTACTGCACTGCGCACATGTGTGTGTGTGTGTGTGTGTGTGTGTATGTGTGTCTGCGTGTGCACGCGTGTGTGTGCGTGTGCACATGTGTGTGTGTGCACGCGCGTGTGTGTGTGTGTGTGTGTGTGTGTGTGTGTGTGTGTGTGTGTGTGTGTGTGTGTGTGTGTGTGTGTGTGTGTGTGTGTGTGTGTGTGCATTCTGTATTTTCTGGCTCAGCATCACAAGTATTAGCCTGACGGCACCAGTTGGCATGACTCGCAGCTCACTGCTACTGCACACTGATACCAGCCATCAATACACTAGCATGAACGTCAGCTGGACACCAGGAGCTACACAATATGGCCAGCATGTCTTCTGCTTCTTAGCAACTGATAGCACACAGTATGTTATACCACTGCACAACATTTTGAACAAAATACACCCTTCGCTTTTAGTTATTTGCGTTGAACAATTTTATGCGTAATCTACTTGAGTACTTGCATGTGTATTTATGACGATGTGCGAAACAGTTCTGTCCGAAATGCCATCACTCACTTGGTGTGAAGATTCACGAGTGTCTAAACTGAGGTATCAAACTGACCATCTCCGTCCGAAATAATTATACCGGAAGTTCTCCCTCGACTCCAAAGTGCATTGGAAAAATGCAATACGCAACTACTCACCCTGTACTGGACTGCCCAGTCACTGTTGTTCTCGGTCCTCCCATAGCAAGGCAAGTGCCATGCAGAAACTGCACGATTGTGTTACTGGAACACACCCCGGGCTGGGGGATGATATCAGGCAGGGTATTGGGGAAACAGTTAGTCTGACTTGATTTATCCATGTAGTAAGTTGTTGCTCGGCTCGGCTAGGCACACGGCACACGATGCTCTTGTGTTTGTTTTGTGTCTGTAGGCAAACTACTAGCTCGCGCTGTATCACACTTCTTGCCGGAGGTGAGTTTGATTACATCAAAGCTCTGCCATGCCGGGAGTCTTTGTTTGCATCGCCTAGGTTTTTTTACGCAGCATCCACTGTTTGAACTATTACAGGGTACAAGCAATCCCCTGCACACTTTTGAAGGACTAAAAAATCAGATTAAGGTGCTCCCGTGGAGCACCGCAATTCCGCCCTTAAGCTTTGTGGTCGTCTAAATCAGATTGCGTCAGTTTTTGTTGCACTTCAATCGATGTTGAAAACTCCTACATTTACATCATATTGTGAGAGCCGTGGGCCAATGGCCCCGGTGAGAAGGCAGTCTTGCCTGTTCATATGGTGAAGTAAAATAAAGAAACAACAACAACAACTGGTGCTGGCTGCCCCAACAGAAACTCGCGGTATTGCATTTGTTTGTTTATATTACTGTGTGAGTGTTGTGTGTACGTGCGTGTGCATGATTATGTCTGTCGTATGTGCCTCCTTTAGCTTCACCACCAGAGACGGTTGCTGGTACGATGCTACCAAGCACGCTGGGAAATCAAACTGCTCCTCACTTGTTTGCAACATTTACTGTAGACTTTGATCAGATGGTAAGGGGGTGAAATGCCTACATGTGCATGTACCGGTATGCCCTCAGCTCTGGTTTACCATTTTCTTTAGTATTGCATGCCTGGTCCTTTTACGTATCATTTTCTTTTTCAATCATTTCTCCTGCCCTGCTCATCCTTCGCTGCCATTTAGAGAAAGAAAAAGAAAGAGTTTCCATTTGATGTAGTGTACTTCAGACGTTATGCATGTAAAGACTTGACAAAAGGAAAAGTCAGAATAAAACGCATGGGCCGAAAAATGTGAATAGTCACTCCTCGGCAATGACTATGATCCGAATCTGAGTTGATGTACAGTGAAACCTGCCTAAGCTGACCGCCCAAGGGACCTTCCAATTATATGATATGGTCCCCGTGGACAGATGGTCTCCTTAAGTTATCCAGGGTCATTTGACTGGAAATGAAGCCCTTTGGTCCTAGTTGTGATGGTCCTCTGTCACAGGTGGTCACCTTATCACAGTGGTCGCCTTGGCAGGTTTTACTGTGTGATAAAACAAGATGCTCAGGGCCTCATTCCATCATTTCTGTTTATCCTACATTCCGTTCATCCTCCATAGATATTCAAACCCACAAGTTTTGCCAAGATCCGTGTGTCCCAGGTGAATGGTAGCATGTCAGCAGAAGTCTACTCGCTGACGGTGGCAACCTCTCCCGATGTAACACTCAGACAACACCCTGACGCCAATGGCCACTATCAGCTCAGGTTTCTGGTGCGCAAGCGCTTGGCAATCGGTGCACGCTACGCAGTCACGTTTGATCACGGTGCCGTGGTAGGCGTGCAGAGCTGCACTGGAGGCGGTGTGCCATTCCAGGGGATTTCTGAGCCTTCGCCCTGGCAGTTTGTGGCCGATCATACCGGTAAGTCTTCTTGGATACACTCGTGTAAATATTGTCCTAAATTTCTTGGTCCATGTTGTGGAATCTAAGCAAGCTAGGAAGCTAGGTTGCACCCAGAGAACTGTTCATACCGTAACTGTCTACCCTATGCCTGGTCGTAGGCGATGATTCCGAGACCTCCGGTCGGATTAGCCTCGCCAACCACATCGGCACATCGCCCCTACTCCCCTTTGTCTTGTTGTCCAGTGTCACTTCAGTTGTCCCCTTTCCCTGATTATTAGTAGCGAGGTCAGGCGGAAAACCCTATCGAATTGGGTATCTACGGAAAGCTTAGAGCTTCAGGCGTTCAAATCTAAAATTTGGGCTGGGTTAGAGCAACTGGAAGAGAGTTATGGGTGTTGAAAGGAGCCCGACTACGTGATTTTTTGTCGCGACGAATGTACGCGTGGGTGCTCGAAAAATGGCACCCGGCACTCGGGTCCCAAGTCGCGACGGAGAGTGCATGATGTAATCTCGCGTGTCACGTGCGTGTACTTCGCTATGCTAGCGGCTAGCGGCACCGCTGCGTGCAGCACTCGAGCCGAAAACTATTACTTTCTGAAGAGAAAATGTTTGTTCCTCTGCAGAGAACGGAAATGTGCAATTGTCTTCAAGGATCGCCAGTGCATGTACTATTTGCTTTGAACCGGTGATGGTAATATTTGGGATCCAATGACGAGTTGGTGGCAACGGGAGCGGTGGCTGCTGTTGATGGATGATGTCGGAAGAAGCGCTTTCTCAAGACAAGTTTCTGCAGACGATCAGGAATTTGAAAACATAATTGTGCTCGAACGTATTGCTTGTTCTGGAGTAGTACAGTAGAGAGACTTTGTTAGAGACATGGTCTGTGTGAAAGTGAACGTTCCTCACTTTCTCTCTCACACAGGTTATGTTTGGCTGACAACTATTTGTAGTGTTGCCTTGATTGAGTAACACTGACAGCATTGGAAATTTGGAAATAGTTTCCATTTCTGAAATGATGCATACAATTGGACAAAACTTTGCAAGAAAGACATAGCTTTCCGAAACAGTACCTGGGACCGGGACTGAAGTAGCCATCTCCTTACCTTCATCACCAACAAGCTTCTGAATAGATACAAAATGCTGCACACCAGACGCAAGCGAAGTTTAATCGGATTGATGGCGATTCGCTTGCTTCTGTTGCTTTTTAGATTGGTGCACATGCCTTCCCAAAGCAATCCTCCTTGCTGGACAGTGACACCAGTCGGGAGCCATAACGTCGGTGCGCCTCTTGTTACGCCAATGAAACTTGGTAGTCCGAAGGATTAGGGGGCGCTGAACACGATGCAGCAACAACCTAAGGCGTAACAAGAGGCGCAAGGACCGAAACCCGCCCCCGAATATTGGCAAAAAGCGAGAGACAGCGCGTCGACAGAGAAACGTCTGGACGCCGCGCGAACGGGTGGAGGCATTGCTCCATATCCTTACCAAAGGACTAGAAACTTGAAATCGCTCAAAAAGAGCAAGGAGACTGCACAAGCGAAGTTCAAACGCAGGTCAGTTTTGATGCCTCCCGTAAAAATCGAAAAATCGAGTAAAAACCTATGTGCCATTACATCATCGATTTTCAATGGGCCGGGGATGGGCCAAGCGCGACAAGCGAAGTCCGTGAACTGGTCACGCGTCTGACCTCGCTATTATTAGTAGGGCTGTGTTTGCTAGTAGAAAAAATATAAAAAAATCCGGATCAATGTTTTGTGATCTTCAACGTTTTGACGTTCAGAACGCATGACACTGACAGTCACCTGCATAAATCCGATGAAGATAAGGGGAATGATGCAGGACCGTCGATGAAGATAAGGGGAATGATGCAGGACCGTCGATGAAGATAAGGGGGATGATGCAGGACCATCGATGAAGATAAGGGGAATGATGCAGGACCGATGAAGATAAGGGGAATGATGCAGGACCGATGAAGATAAGGGGGATGATGCAGGACCGATGAAGATAAGGGGGATGATGCAGGACCGATGAAGATAAGGGGAATGATGCAGGACCGTCGATGAAGATAAGGGGAATGATGCAGGACCGTCGATGAAGATAAGGGGAATGATGCAGGACCGTCGATGAAGATAAGGGGAATGATGCAGGACCGTCGATGAAGATAAGGGGAATGATGCAGGACCGTCGATGAAGATAAGGGGAATGATGCAGGACCGTCTGACGAAGCCCCTGTAAATCGTTTGCTTTTCTGCAGTTGGCAACATTTCCGATTGCTCTACGACGCTGTCACAGTTCTTGGCATACGGTGAAATCCGAAAGGATTGGCAGTTGGACCTTGGTGATGGAAGCGCATGCTTGACTTCTAATATATCAGAAATTCACTGCAAGGACAGACAATACCGCGTTAACTGCGTTGCGGGCAACCAAGGAGCCCCGTGGTCGCAAAGCTCGATGGATTGAGGCTTTGGCCGAATTCGAGTTTGCTGTTGTGCACCGCCCTGGTTCTCTGGTTCACTTGGTTCCGATTTTTTGTTGCAGCATGGTGGTGTATTAGACATTGCTCGTGGTGTTGTGATATTTGGCGATGTGTCTGTTCCGTTGCATGTTTCTGGTTCTGGGTGTCCTCCGTCACGTACGCCCTATGATCGTATTGTTCCGCGTAATACTTCCCCCTCATGTAATACTCATACTCCTCATTCTGATGCATGCTCCGACGATGTACCTGTTTCGTCGTATTCTTCTCGTGTTGCCCTTGACGATGAGCTGTCTGTGCCTGCTGCGCTGGCCATGTTGTGCTAGTACCATGTGTCTATGTGGATGCTTGTTCGGAAACTCTGGATTGTGTTGCTGATCCACTAGAGTCGTTTGTGGATAAGTTTCCTACGTTGTCGGTGACACCTGCACTTGTAACAGTGGGTCCCGATCACGCACACATTGTCATGACAATTGAGAATCACGCTGAGCATAATATTATTATACATAAAAACACCAATATTGCCGAACTGTCTCCTCTCATTATGGATGATGATGATGAAGATGACGCCGCCGTTTCATCCGTCACCACTGATCACACACCTGAACTCACAGAACAGCGCAAGGCTACCATTCATGAATACGTTAAATCACAACAAAACCTCTCATCCCAAACCAAAAGCATGCTCACCACACTCCTTATTGATAATCACGACCTATTTATATTGCATGAAGACGACTATGGCTATTGTGATATGTTTCCGCATAAAATTGATACAAGCACACATACTCCTATTAAACAAGCAGCTCGGCGCATTCCGTATCACCGTCGCGTTGCTCTGCAGACGTTGTTGGATGAGTTACTAGAGAAGGGTATCATCCAAGAGTCCATCAGTCCGTGGGCGTCTCCGATCGTGTTGGTTCCTAAGAAGAACGGTTCCTTACGACTTTGCGTTGACTATCGCAAGTTAAACGGTGTCACAAAGCCGGACGCCTATCCGATTCCACGGGTGGATGACATGCTTGATTCACTGTCTGGTTGTAAGTGGTTTTCGTCGCTCGATCTCGCGTCTGGGTATTGGCAGATTGCGATGGATCCTGACGACCGAGCGAAGACCGCATTTACAACACCATTGGGCCTGTATGAGCTTACAGTGCTGCCGATGGGGTGCAGGAATGGTCCTGCCACCTTCCAGCGAGTTATGGAAGCTGTTCTTCGTGGGCTGTGTAATGCTGCGGCTCAGCCATTTTGTCGTGTCTTCTTTGACGATGTTTTAAATGCAAGTGAAACATTGTCTGGCCAGGTATTGATTTTGTCGCGAGTGTTTGAGCGTGTGCGTTCAGCAGGCCTGCGTTTTAACTTAGCAAAGTGTTCCTTTTTCCGGTCGGACGTCGCGTTCCTCGGGCACCGCGTGTCGGCAGACGGAATTGCCCCCGATCCGGACAAGGTTTCCGCGATACTTGCGTGGAAGGCGCCGAAGTCTGTCACTGCGGTCAGGTCATTCCTTGGTTTCGCGGGATATTACCGTCGATTCATCCGTGGATTTGCGCAGCGGTCAGCCCCGCTGACGGCTCTCACTGGAAAGAATGCGCAATTTGTTTGGTCGAAAGCTTGCGACGCGTCCTTCCGATCACTGAAGTCTGCGCTGTCGAGTGCTCCGGTTATGGCATTCCCGGACTTCGGACCAGATGCCGGTCCCTTCCTTCTGGACACAGATGCCTCGAAAGTGTCCATTGGTGGTGTCCTGAGCCAGGTGCAGGACCAGGTGGAACGCCCCATTGCGTTTGGTGGGCGCATAATGTCGAAAGCGGAGCGTAACTATGACGCCAGTGATCGCGAAGCCCTGGCCCTTGTCTTTTTCGCCAACCACTTCCGGCATTATCTGCTTGGTCGCGAATTCACTGCAAGGACAGACAATACCGCGTTAACTGCGTTGCGGGCAACCAAGGAGCCCCGTGGTCGCAAAGCTCGATGGATTGAGGCTTTGGCCGAATTCGAGTTTGCTGTTGTGCACCGCCCTGGTTCTCGACACAGGAATGCCGATGCTATGTCCCGCGTGGTGACCGATGTGCCGTCTCCTCCGCCGAGTCCGCCGCCTCTTGCCCGTGATGTTCCGTTGTCAGCTGCTGATGAAGTGCCACTTGCTGTTGATGTTCCTCCGGCTGCTGAGATTATTCCTCCGGCCGTTTTTGTTCGTCCTCCTGGTTCCTCTGCCGCTGGACCGTCGTCACCTGATTGTTTCAAGCCTCAGAGTCTTCTTGCTCCGTGTGCTGATCCTGCTCTGTCTGAGTGTTTCACCCGATATGATGCTGCCAGTGGCAAGTTTGTTCGTCCGCCTGAAGCCGTTTCCCGTCCTCCCGACTGTCAACCGCCTGCCGTTACTGCTTCTCGTCCTGACCCGATTACGCTGTCCGATGATGATTTGCCACGCTGCGTTCCGCCGCTACAGCCGCCGTCGTCTGATCCGGTCCGTACTTCTTCTCCTGTTTCTCGTCGTTCTGGCCGTGTTCGCACTGCACCTGCTCGACTAGCTGACTATGTCCTGGACTGAGTTTATTATTTGGTTTGTTTTCTTTTGTTTGTTTCCTAGGTATTTCGTTCATTCCCGTGGACGTGAATTTTAGCTAGGGGGGCACAGTGTAATAGGTGTATGTATGCTACGACCTGAATACTCACTATTCGTATTTCCCGCTCGTTCCCCTTGGCAATGAGCCACTCACATAGAAGAGCGCATGCTCCAGGTTCTGTTCTGTTCTTGTCTAGTCTTGAGTTGTCGTTGTCCTGTTCTCCTTGTCTACACTCTTCTCGAATACTTCTATAAATTATCCAATCATATAAAACCCCTGTGTTCCGGTGTGAGGGGGCATCATTAGCCGGGAGCAGCTAACACTAGTGCCATTTTCTGCCAGAAAAGGCTTGCACATCAATGCGTATAATACGGTATTGATATGATCAAGAGTGCATAAACCTCTTGATATGATGTGAAGGCCATCATTTACATAATTATTGATACAGGCAAGAGTACATAACCCCGGGGTTACAAACAAGGCCGGTCCTGGAAGCTCGAGGTAGAGTGCTCAATGTACGAATGTACAGAGCAGTATACACACACAACAGAGGCGAAAGGCTGTGTTAGCTGTATAACCCCGGGGTTATGTACTCTTGATATAGGGCATTCCATTGATTGGTGACAGAAAAAACAAAAGAAATTATAGCAATAAAAACTGCTTTATGGCAGTTTTCTAAAAAAAGTTATTGTGTTCTAGTCCATGGACCCCGTCCAAAAAGTAAGAAATTACCGAAATGTGATAGCTGGAAATTAAAATTTCACACAAAACCTCGCAATAATCACACACAGAATTAAAAGCTACATGTAGAAGACCTTTTCCCCTCGTGATCCTCTTTCCTATGCATGCATGTTGCCAATTGTTGGTGCAGTACAAGTTAAAGTTGAAAGCAGCATTTCAAGTGTTGTGATTATTGTGAGGTTTTGGGTGAAATTTTAATTTCCAGCTATCACATTTCGGTAATTTCTTACTTTTTGGACGGGGTCCATGGACTAGAACACAATAACTTTTTTTAGAAAACTGCCATAAAGCAGTTTTTATTGCTATAATGGATATAGTGAGGGTTGCGTCCCACCACTGCACTGAGCTTGTGTAGTGTCACATGCAGGAAGTGTGAGTTTCGAAGTCTGAGGAAAAATAACAGAGAACCCTGCTGCTGCCTCTGCAGCAGTTGTAGAAAGTTTTATAATACCAGTGTCGATGGTGAACTTCTGCTCTTTTTTTATCCCAGACACTTTGTGCTCAAGA